ATTCCTGATGAGCTGAAGCAATCACGCGAGTACATGGAGCTGCTTGAACTCAAAAAAATTAAAAAACAAAAAATCAAACACGGAGATCAGGTATYWTTCTTCCACGGATAACTASAATTACAWTTGCACCCAAACCTTTGTATTGTTAKCTATMGTCGCTTATTTMTTTCTTTTATTGTTGCAGTCGTCGTCCTCTCATGTTGGATTTATGGTGAGTTCAGCTGAATAATARCGCAATCTCTAAGTCGAAATGTCAAGTAATRTAAGGTCTTTTTTTRATGCAGTGTGATGGGTGTGGTACTGATCCCATAGTRGGGACAAGATGGCATTGYGCAGACTGTCCACMAGAGACAAGTCTAGATTTCTGTTCGTCATGCATAGACAGGTACGCTAATTTTATTAACGCGTTCAAATCGAGAATTGGCTGGTCTGTCTCTACTATTATGTCCCTTCAGAAGTACATATGTACTTCTGGTCCCTTCTATTGCACGGAAAAAGAGCTTCACGTGTTTTCACGCTAGTTTTCCTCCTAGTCACAACACGAGAAGAAGCTTATATGCTTGAAACGTTTTTTTAATTTATAAAAAGATTATAATAATGAATCAGTTAGTTTAAATWAGAATTTTGAAATAATCTAAATACTAAATAGAACAACAGGGACCACATAAACGAGGAAATCTGTTGCTATTCATGACTTTTTTTAAACGATTTACAAATATTTGGGAAATTATGGTCACTGGATCTTTAATCTTCTCCATCCATTTTATTCTATTTTTCGCTTAAAATGTTTATAATTTCAGAGGTATTCCTGAGTCACGTGGTCACAACCAACAGCATCGTTTTGAGCCAATCACAAAAGCCTTATCGTATTTTGTCGATGGTGATTACGTCGGAAACACAGGCTCSACAGAGACTGGGTACAACTATTTAGACCCGAATTTTCTACCCGCTGCCAGTTGACAGAAAAACTTCTCAAATGCGGCCGGTCGGTTGGTATGATACTATGTCAATACAGATAAACCTCTCAATGGCGGTCGWTCGATTRGTAAAGATACGTTATTAATACTGCATGTACAAGTAACCTCACAACAACGGTCGGTCGGTATGCTCCATATGATATAGGTCTATGACACAAGAGTMAAAAAACTATGAAAATTACGGTCGGTCGGTTAAAGTAAGTTACACTTAAAGACCTCTCTATAATTACAAATTTTCTTTATCTACACATCTTCTTAAGAAATTGAAATAAAATTCATTTTTGAATACCTCGATATCTTTATATTTCACTAATTTTTTGAAACATTTCGACGCAAAAGGTGATTGAACAGTTTAATTATGACTGACGTTGCTATGGCTACCATCACCTGATATTTCGCATTGGCAGAAACTAAAAGTTTGTCACATTAATAGGTTATTAAAATAAACAATTGAGTTTTTTTAATGAAAGTCGGCCTGCTTTTGCTATATAACACCATTCCTTACCSCTTRGAGGCGCTTCAAATACCTAAATAAGCAAAGGAMATTTATTTAATTTAAAATGRAAMGATACTGCTTAAAAGACCAGACAATAATTTTTTTTCACTGTATTTGTTCAAGATATTAACTCAAAACAAAAGCTATTTGATTAGAACTCTTAACTGTGTTTTTTTCTAGGACAATGTATCTCAGAAATAATTAAAGGTCCTTGAAATTGAATTGCAAAATCAATTAGTGACATAAATAAAAGACGAACCTAAGTTTGTTTTGCTCAATCAGAGATCAAGTTTGATTCGTTAAGAGAGATGAAAASGCGTTATTGCCTGGCACAATTGAAAGGTGCTGTAGAAGTGTTAATATAATACTGACTTATGTTATTCAGTTTAATTTCCCTATTTGCTCGGAAAAGGMAAACAATAATCAGACCTTGAAGATGAAAAGTTGTCTTTCTGGATGAGAAACGTTCTTGAAGGCAACGCAATTGCTACAAACATGAAACTCTTTGTCATTTTTGGGTGTTTTGCGGTTTCTTTGTGGCAAAGTCAATCGAAAGGCGTCCTAAGTCGAGATATTAACACCAAAACTTACAGTAAACGTAGACAACAAAGCGAAAARGTATCAAGAGAAGAAATCTTCYCGAATAAGAAACAACATGAAAAAAGCTCGAAAATACCAACGTTCAACTTTGGAAGTGCCACTTTGGAGAATTCTTCTWATCYKKCTCGGTACTTTRCTATGCAACGTGAAATTGAATACGATGAGAAAACAGTGACCAACTCAAAACCAAAGCATTTGAACSACTTATCAAAGACCAGAGTAAAACGAAGTTTGCTATTTAAACAGATAAACTCAAGTTGTACACAGCCACTCCTTTCGTGCAAGAACAGATGTGTCGACACAATGGACGCAGGGGGGGATAGAAAGGAGCTTCGGTGCTCTTGTGATCCCTATTGCAATTATTTTAAGGACTGTTGCCATGACTACGTGCCTTATTGTTTAAAGTCAAGAGCAGGTTCAGCTGTAACATCGAAAGTCCCGGATGAAAACTGGTCTTGCATGTCTGGTATTTGGGTAATTAAGTATTGTCCAGTTTCCTGGAAAAACCAGACTGATAGACTATCGTGTGCAAGCGACGCCAAAATCAATTACAAAAATTACGCAGATATGTTACCCGCCACTACCCCTGACGGGAAAACGTTTGGCAACCGGATGTGCGCACGCTGTCATGGTTACAAGGAAGAGGAACTAGCGTATTACAGTATGGACTTTAAGTGTTCTTTGTCACCGCCAGCCCAATCGACACCTACAGAGAAGATGAAATTTGTTTTCRAAAGGTGTAWATTATCTCGGGTAGCTCCTAAAARTGGTATYYCCAGGAGGTATTGCATTGCAGTAAAAATCCCAAATTGCAATTCCAGGATTGATCGATCTATTAAAGCACGTTGTRTCAATGGGTCTTACGGTCTAGTTTATGTAAGAAGCCGTAAAGAGAATCACAAGAACGAGTTCTGTGCGATCTGTATGGAAAGACAGCCGTCTTCGTGCGGGCCAGGAAAGTTACCAGACAATCTTGAAGACAAAGATCATGTTCCTGGTTCAAAGCCATTTTCTTTGATATTCGACATTGGAGCGAAGTCTCAAATACAACGCGATTCCTCAGTAACGGTCAAGTGCAGCAARGAAGGAGAGGTCTATGACTGGCGTTTGGAGGCATGTCGTAAGGGGCAMCAATATACACCTAAGGTATCAACAAAAAGAGAATATCGAGTCGCACTGTGGRTGAAAACCTACAGGCTTTTTTCCATCACTGCACTACCTTTTACCTTCGAACAGTTTGGTGTTGCCATTTCCAAGCTGCTTCAAATCAATTCCACTTCTATAAGTGTTTTTGATAAACTCTTTCTCGGTAAAAGGACCCAGATGTATTTGATGATGTTCGACCTAAAATTGGAAGAAGAAAGTAGTGATTTCAGTGTCATGGAGTTGTTCAACCTGACCCGMAAACGGCCTAAACYAGTGTTTAAAGTTGGTACTTTCCCTTTTACTGCGGMRAAGATTACCATAAAGACCATGACATGTGTCGCTRCMGAYAYYTATTCWCCCTTGCAATACCAACTAATTCCTGGTACMTCTTCAGTGGTGRTCAATTCTACTGGTGAAGTTCTGGACAAAAKTGACTACTTCTCCAACAACACTATCATGTTTCAAGGTCGTCCACAGCCTGTTGGCAAYATCGTGGTCTGTAGACAGTTACTATCRGGTAATTGTTCTGGYACTTACATCTTCCTGGACAGACACGAGTACGTCATGTTTYCTAATCGATCKTTATGGTACAATGCAGCTGGTCGTCTGTACRAGTATGAGGACTACACAGTAATGAATGGTTCCATCATGATTTGTACTRAMTTGAYWCAAACTTACGTAAARCAGACCAAGAAAGAAGACCCAGTGGATGAAACAGTTTTGATTGTCTTGACTTATGTCGGGTTTTCAATATCAATTGTGTCTTTRGTGTTTGTTCTGGTCACTTATTCGTTGTTTCCAAAACTGAGAACAATTCCTGGAATTAACTTAATGAACCTATCTTGTGGTCTTCTTGTGGCGCATTTGGTTTGGMTGACAGGATCTGGACTGACAACCAATGGAAYAGTTTGTACAGCCATCGCTATCATACTTCATTACAGTTTTCTTGTCTCATTTGYCTGGATGTCAATCATCGCCTTTGACACTTGGAGAGCGTTTTCCAGGAATTCCTACCATCTACCAAAGAGTGGTGGAAGGGGAAAACGCATTGCCGTCACCATGACAATAGGTTGGATTCCATTGGTCCTTTTTGTGTCAGCTTGCGTTGCTCTCGACCAATCAAATGCTGTTACTATTGGATACGGTGGTCTCAAAGGCTGCTGGATCAACAACTCGTGGGCTAATCTCTTCGTCTTTGCTTTGCCTGTTGGTGTCTCTTTAGTTTGGAATGCAGTGTTCTTCAGTTTATTCCTCACAGCTTTCCAAAGGACAAGACAACAATCTGCAATGATAGGAAGACAACACCAAGCACGTAGAGACACGGCTATCTTTGCAAGAATAGCTGCACTGATGGGCTTCACCTGGGTGTTTGGGTTCATAGCACCTGTGACCACGCCCTACTTGATGTACCCCTTCGTGATCCTAAACACCCTTCAGGGTCTGTACATTGCTGTGGCTTTCGGGTTAACGCGAAGAGTGAGGTCACTATATAAAGCAAGTATTGTACGTTCGCAATGTTCACCCAGACAAGAACATTCTGCTCGGACTTTTGATACGGCTTTGTAAAACAAATGCGGAGACGATCAAGAAGTTGGAACAATGATGTTGTAGTTTGTCTTCAACAAAACAAACTACGCGTGGTTAATTGTAAATAGTTTTTGTCGATTTGTATTTATTAAACTTCTTTCTTATACAGACTTCAAAGAAAAAAGAACAAATTCTTATATGGAACTTTACGACGAAAAATAAACCTTCTTACGAATACGGCCGCCATCTTGAATTTTTAAGACATTATGGGATGTCTAGGGGACAAAACCACACATTATCATAAAGATTTGTATTATCATAAAGATTTGTATTTATTAAACTTCTTTCTTATACAGACTTCAAAGAAAAAAGAACAAATTCTTATATGGAACTTTACGACGAAAAATAAACCTTCTTACGAATACGGCCGCCATCTTGAATTTTTAAGACATTATGGGATGTCTAGGGGACAAAACCACACATTATCATAAAGACAATAGTAACGAAACATTTCTTTCACTGATGATTTCAGACTTCAAATTTAAATTATTGCTTAAAACGATTCAAATATTTGATGTTTTGAATGGTTTTTCACGTTCCAAGATATAACATTTCATCTCATAGCATTCTAAAAGTCCAACTGTTTATGATTTCTTGTTTAGTGGCCCTAGGACATCCCATAGTTTCTTGRTGAATCTGATTCAGTAGAATTCAAGATGGCGGCTCACTTTGATGGAAAGGCTCGGCTACCTTTCAARATGGCGCTGGCCGGCAATTGTGAAATGGAGTATACAACTTTGTCGTTAAGTTTCCCCTTARCAACCCGACATCTAAATCAAGATGGAGACTATTTTGATAATAATAAGGTTTAATGGATCAATGTTTACTTCGATGTATTAATCAGCCGACTTACATTATCATATTCGGGCAACATTAGCACTGCACGGAAAGGATACTACCCGACATGGCATGATAAAAAATATATTTGATGGCAGTAATTAATGACTATATAAGAAGATTGTTGGAGAACAGAATATTCTTTTATTTTTACTGATTATACAATATAGTATCATTCGTTGTAATGTTGATGTCAGTGTTTTAAAATGCGTTGTTCATTCGATATTGCGGTTGTTATAGTAACGATTTCGGTTTCCGTTTTGTGTAAAGACTTTGCTTTCAAAAGCAAAACTGAGTTATGAAAAATCTTGTTTTCGTTTCTTAGAGGTTTCTTTGCAGTGATTCGTGGCTYGGGTCGAATCCGAAAGTTTTCGATGATAATTGATATTCATTTTTGCATGATGACTTAAATGACAGCTCTTGTTATTCAGTTAAAAGGTAAGAGACTTGAATTTTTATTAGACACGTTAAGATTTTACTTGGAAACTTGGATTTTACTTGTGACCTGTTCAAAAAGAGCAGTTGATTAGCTTTACTTCTACCAGAAAGAAGCGAGAAATGAGGTCTAGTGTTTCCCCGGAGAAACCTGTAAGCAAGACTTCGTTTGTATGCCCCGTCAGCGTCATTTCGTCCATCTATTCCCTTGAAGAGGATGAACTACAGTTCCTAGAGGCCGCGAAAAGCAACGATTTAGAKACTGTTAACACATTCATAGAGGAAAASAAATATTTCAAAGRCYCCAAGGAAGGAAAATTCCGAATTATTTTCTTAACAGACACAGCCGCCATCTTRTCCATCCACCATGGAAATAAAGATGTTACGAAGCTTCTACTTAGTAAAGGTTTTATTATCAGAGAACCTCATTCAAGATCTTGTCAATGCAAGGAGTGTTGTTCCTTTGGAGTTCTTCTTAAAGCACTTTCCCGGTTAAATACGTACCAAGCAATGTCCAACCCAACGTATTTATCGTATTGCTTTTTGTACGCCAATTCCTCAGGGTCTTCTGAGCTTTCAAGTGAAGATGYAGACACTTCCAGGTCGAAACTTGATCCCATTTACCGTGCGTTTGAGTTAAACGGGAAACTCGAACAACTCGCAGTAACCGAGTATGAGTTTAAAAAGGAGTACAGAGCTTTGTCGAACCAATGCGAAGAATACGCGGTGCAGTTATTGAATCTTTGTCAAAATATGAAAGAAATCGCATGCATTATGAGCATGCCGAATGGCAAGGAACAGAGATGGCTTCAGGAAGGCGCCATAGATTTGAGTGTGCTGAACTTTGCCATAAAGAACAAGAATGAAAGGGTAAGGTTGTTTTTACTACTCCTTCTCCGCTTTTATTACTTCAAATTGAAAAGCACGTTAAATTTATCTTTTTTCTGTTTCAGTTTGTTGCTCACCCATATAGCCAACTGATGCTGAACTCGGTGGTGTATCGAGGTCTCCATGGGTGGCAATACCGATCTCTCTTAACAAAAAGCGCTGCGGCTGTGATTTTCACCATTCTTCTGCCATTTTGGTGTCTATTTTACCTCATAACTCCACAAAATGCCTTGAACAAGATGCTGAAAGTACCGCTTTCAAAGTTTCTTGGGAATGTGATATCGTTCCTGTGGTTTTTGGGTCTTTTGACTTTGTCTTCTCTTGGAGATACGTATGGCGAGACGATAACAGAGATATCTATAGCAAGTGAGTTGAAATTTGACTTTATTTTTTATTTTGGTTTTCTTGAGAACATTAATTATTTTAAGACTTTCTAAAGATTTTTTTTTACTTTAAAGTGCACATGACACCATTAGAAACTCATTCTCATTCAAAAGAGAAAATGTTGCTAAATACATCTGCGAAGAAAGAATTTGATTTTAAATTGTATTTTCTATTGAAACTTAGAAAATTCAAATGAAGTGACGTCTACTAAGGAATGATTTAATATATAAAATCATAAAAGAGGACATTATTCTTTTTGCTATATTGAAAAAAGAATTTTCAGCTCTCAATTATTATCAATAATAGGATTGATGATTTGAGCTCTTCAACCAAGAACAGCATAACACAAACCGAAAGGTCTGGACCAATTCCTTAGTTGACGTCACTCCATTAACTCAGAAAATACAATTCAAAATCTATTTCTTTCTTCACAGAAGTGCTGGACAGCGTGTTACCTTTCGGATTTTCTAAAACTGGTGTCATGTGCACTTTAAGGGGATGCGGCAATATCATACYACAGAATCACCACAGAACCTGTGTAACTGTAGCACCATATATCGCRCTTACAAGTGACTTGCTTTCCATGTGGGATAAATGATTATTCAACATGTAYTCWAGTGTAACAAAATGCGCATGCTCAATAGTAACTGTACTTCTGATTGGCCGTTTTTGTGTTTTCAGATCTCCTKGTCAGTTTATGGGTAGTCGGGATGATTCTCGAAGAAATAAAAGAGTACTTACGTCAAGGCAGTCAGCGGTATTTCTCACAATGGTGGAATATCGTCACCATAATCATGCTGATTCTATTTGTTYTGGCGGGTTTCCTGTGGTTTATAGGACACGGTGCACTGGATGAGAACCATGCCGAATCGGAAGTTCATAAACACTATGCTATACATCTTTTYCCAGAAATCTCAAAAGAGTGGGCCTTTAAGTGTATGCTGTTATCTAATAGCTTCTATTCAGTAGCTTATATTCTTAGCTTTCTTCAYATCTCGAGTGCTCTRCAAGTGAACTCGACTATTGGTCCGTTGCACCTTTCCCTTGTTCAGATGAGTGGAGATGTGACGAAGTTTTTGTTGCTTTTCTCGATATTTTATTTTGCCTTCGGTCTTGCACTACGAGAGGTGAGATACGTACACTCTTGACAGTTTTGTAAAAAGATAAATTTAACACTAATCGTAAAAAGTAGGTGAAATAACTTACTGACGTTTCGGACGTTTTTACTCCGACGACGGATTTATAACGTCCGAAACGTCAGTAAGTTATTTCTCCTAATTTATTACGGTGTTATATTTATCTTCTTACGAAACTGTTTCTTTAGAAACACAGACGCAGCTCACACTAGTTTGCCGCTACTTCCCACCATCTTGACAGATCTTGACGGTAAAAGAAACTAAGTTTTATCTGCATATTTTTTAGGTTTACTCTCAATTTGTACTAGTATCATCAATTCATTATCGTAACTCTTCATCTCCAGCGATGCACAAGTTTTCACAGTAAGAAACTATAACAGTGTATTGCGTAGCGGCCACAGGCGTCCCAAGTACTGAGTGCGCTCTCGGGCATCCTAAGAGGGATGTGTAAAGAAGATAAGTTTAACACCGTAAAAAAGTATGGGAAATATTTCCCATACTTTTTTACGGTGTTAAACTTATCTTCTTTACACAACTGTTTYTTTAGAAACACCGACGCAGCTCACACTAGTTTACCGCTATTTCCCACCATTTTACTAAGAGGGATGGTTGGGCTGCTTGTTGCCGCTACGCAGTTAAGATACTCGGAGAATTGATTGGATTTCATTGTCCAATCACAAACTAGTATATATTTCCAATTAATATTGATACTTTTACTTGCTGTTTCACGGATTTATGCGTGCACTCTAGTGATTTGATGTGAATTCTTTCATGTATATTTTAGTGTATCTAGCAGCTTTGGGAATCTGTTTTGGGCTCTGTTTGACAAGACGGACCTGGACGCATTTTATATTGGACGACCTGAGTTTAGGATAACGGAGCTCACYGGGGAGATCCTGTTTGCTGTGTATAACATCGCCGCCATCTTGGTAGCTCTCAATATGTTGATTGCTATGATGGCAAACTCGTTTCAGAAAGTTGCGGTAATTATCAAATACAAGTTGTCGAAGTTGTTGGCCTCCCACAAGTCATAGCGGCCTCAAATGTCCTTCCATATCAACAAATCACAATGTTTGTTTTATCTCAACACAGGATGATGCAGACATCCAATGGAAGTTCTCTAGGACCCGGATGTGGATGCAGTACGTTGATAAAGGAAGTGACGTACCACCACCCTTCAATCTCATCCCTAACTGGAAGGCAATAGTATCCTGTGTGAAATGGTTTTGTAAAAAGAAAGATAACAAGGTTCGCGTCCTATACAGATCATACAACTACTCTCTATATTTTATTAAGAACTGATGGAGTTCTAGACAATGTCAATCTCGTTCTCAGGTACCCTTKGTCTCCAACCAATGCGTGACGAGGTTAGGCTTGATTATTGGACGCGCGGAAACGAAATTGAAGGCAATGTGGGACCTGACAACATAAAACATACCCCAAAATTCATTACGCATTTATGATATATCGATAAGAATTCGATYTAAACTATTTTCTCTCTCTACAGTATGAAGAAATTGGGGACAAAACTGGAATCATCGATGATGGCCATGTAAGTCAGCAAGTCGCGCAAATTCTTAGAAACACAAGTTCTTCTAACCAGTGGACTTGATTGGGTGGCAACGCTTCAATAACGCGCTAGCAAGAGTGTTGGAGATGGGCCGTCAAAAATCATGGAATTTTATATAACATTAGCCTGAGTATCAGGCTAATATAACATACACTACATTTCTCTTTTTTTTAGCGTAAAACTATCATAATAAACCTGGTTAATAGGTATTTCGTAAAAGCTGCGGAAAAAGCAATCGGGACATCGACCCATCCAGTTGGCCCCATGTAGAGGGGAGATAGAAGAAGGCTGTWGGCCAAAAACAACCAGTTAAGAAACAAAGGGGTTGGAAATCTCGGTAAAAGGGTAAGACTGCTCCAGAGAACCGAGACAATGGAGTTGCTTGATGAAGGCATCATACACTACAAGGTTCGAAGTTGATTATGGGTAACATTGGTACATCAGTCAAAGCTGAGATGATTGGATTATCAGTGAATTGTTGAAACAACATAACGTTATGTTTCCAGGAACTTCACGTTTTCATGGCGTTGGGGTGGTATCACTTGGACAATTACTGACATTATTTTATCCTAAGGCAAATTATAGCATAACTTTTATACTTAAAAATGAATTTATAAAAGGACAAAGGTGCTAGAAAATGGTTTTATTTCAAAAATCTCACTGAAGTCTCAATTCTGAACAACTTAAACATAATCACATTATTTCAAGAGTGTTTGCTTTTGAATTCTGGGWGTCTTTCATAGTGTTTCTAGGTCATTAAGATCATTTGAAGTCCAAATTTCACTTGATATAGAAGAGAGAATACCAAAATGACAGGTTGGAATTGATATATTAATTCATTATAATGGTTCTTAAAAATATATAAAAATGACTATCTAATCCCTCTAGACTATTGTAACCCTCCCTACATGTAAATTAACACTTAGTTTATCAGATCAGTTTAACTGTCTTCCTCCAAAGGCATCTCTCTTGTTTTCCACTCTTCTCTATACTCTTGGGGTTCGTGTCTTCCTCAGTATGACCAATAGGGAGAGCCTACGTAGCACTCAGTTGATGCAATATATTCATAAAGATATAATACAAAACACATAATACAATAGAACGAGGAACAATGGAATACAATACATTTCATGAATACATTACATCAACTGCGTGCTACTGTACGTAGGTCACCCCATGTCCAAGAGAGACTGCAACTGGCCTCCATGACATCAAGAGGATACCACAGGAATCCCAAAAGGGCAAAATGAAGTGCCACCATTGGTGGAGGCTATTTTTTTACTCCCAACTAGATATATCACATAATAAACCTGACTCAAGGTTATTCAACACTGTGACTGACAGCTCTCGGTTCTAACATGTAAATGTTCATATTTCTCCCAATAATTCACCTGGAAATCKTGWGCATAATTGGTTGATTTAAAATCAATAAATTAATTSAAGTAATTTTACCAGACCCYCTGAGTAAATAAAGATGAGTTCCAACGTTGTAAGACAACCATAACATAGCAATTTCTATTGCTGTCCATCAATAACATTGTCCACTTTTGTCCATGAACATGGTAAAATCTCTTTTGTAAACTTTAAGGTAMAGTAACCATAGCAACTGTCAATAAGTGTACCACAGTACACATCATCTGTATCACACTTGAGTTTAAATCATCACCGTTCCTCAATATAATACCGACTAATAACAATGGTCTTAGGATATTGTCATTCCCTTGTTAATCAACATCTGTATCCATAGCAATGTCAATCAAATCTGGAGCTAGATCTCARTTCCTGATCCAGACTGAATTTATGAATCCCTCATTTGATCATCATCCTTGCACCATTTGATGTCTTAAAGATCTTAATCTAAATTTCTTCATAATTTGTGCCACCTTGTGTTTCTTCTGTACCTCTTTTTTTACTGTGTTTGTGCTTGCTCTTYTTCTTTTTCTCGCCTTCTTCATCTTTAGTTTTCCTCTCCTTTTCACTGTCTTTATGTTTGTGTCTGTGTTTCCGCCTTTCTTTATCGCCTTCTCCTTCATCAGTTTTGTCCTTGTRTTTCTTGTGCTTTTTGCTGTGTGATTTTTCACTGGACCTCTTGTGATGTTTGCTTTCTTTTGCTGTGAATATTTGGAGAACAACAGGGTGAGGTAMATCAATCAATCAAAATCAAAAGATCAAAAACTTGACAAATAGAAAAAACTGAATAAAGTGCATTTTATTGACATATCCTTGTAAGAAATTGCACAAAAAAGTGTTTGTTGGCAATCTACTTCATGAGTATAGAAAGATACACCTACTTGCAGAAACGTTGTCATAGAAAATAGAACATTTGAATTTAGTAAAAAGGAATAAATTGAAACAAGACAAAAGAGAGCGTTMAGCCTCAGTGATCTTCTTTTGTCTTTTTAATTAATTCCTTTTTACTAAAATACAAATGTCCTATTTTTTATGACAATGTTTTCGCAAGTAGGTATAGACATAAACACATGGAATTAGTTCATCAAGATCCATTTAGCAAGTACGATTATCTAAACAGAAAGTTTACAGTACCTGTTTCTTCATCATCACTGTCTTCTAGTAGATCTGTCAAGTTTAAAACACAGAGTTAGAATACTGAAGTTAGCACAAGCTCCTGTAAGAGATCTTACTACTCTCTTCACCATTGAAAAAGGTCAGAAAAGTATTCATGCCAGGAATTAATACCAGGAACTAGTAAGTAAAAGCCAACCTGTTTTCTTTGGTTTCTTTTTAGAAGCACTAGAAGTCTGTTGTTGCATGAATAAAGACCACTCGTCCATTTGAAGAGAAGATGGAGGAGGTGAGATATCAATAGGGCTATTCACGTCAACTTTTCTAAGAAAACAATGTTAACAACAAAATATCAATTCGCTTGTATTAGAAAAACCTGTGAAATAGATATTCCACTCTACTAAGTTACTCATACACCTAGAGTGGTTCTCATTAACCCGTGAAATACACTTTAGCGTATTACACTTTATTACACTTTGTCTCTTTTGTTTTCTATTATATTTCTTGGCTATTACATTTTATTACACTTTGACTATTACACTTTGTTTCACGGGTTAATGAGAACCGCTCTAGCATTGCCTTCTTTAGTGTCTATTTGGCGAACACACTTTAAAAGTTAAATTCTGTTTCAAGTTTTTTTGTGATCTATTACCTCACGATAAAATCTTCTTCRCTTTTCTTGCTTAACGATATGCTCTAAAATTTAAGAAGGACTTCAATTAGTTCATGTGACAATGGCTATWTAAAGTCATGAAATTATTCATTTTTTTTGGCCATGATATATTTTTAATATTATGAAATTATCAGTTTTGCTTCTCTTGCAGTGATGAGGTCTAATGAAAGCTGCTCAAAAGCCACATTCTAGTGATCTAATTTCTTTCTGTATAATTTTAAGTATTTTACCTTTGGTTCTAACTCRGGTGAATTCAGCCAGTCATCAAAGTCATTTCCACTTGTAGTATTATTTTCAATATTCTTTTGTTCCTGTTTAGCTTTCTTACTGCCCTTCACATCTAATTTAAGTCCTCTACTTGGCTTACTGTTAGGAGTGGACAGAGGAATTGGTTGTAGTATTTGCATTTTGGGTTCTTCCTCYTCTGGTTCTTCTTCACTGGATGTGATGTGAATGTCATCTACTTGGGGTCTTGGTTTGATTGGTGCTTCRTCAGARTGCTCTGATTCTAGGTTGCCATTGACWACAGTTTGTTGAGGYTCRTCATCGTCGGATATGTCTTCTGCRAAACCGGCTACCATTGGATTCTTYGAGTCAGAGTCACTTTGAAAAAAAGATATCKCAATATCAATGTMCAGCTGTGTCATGTTTATTCAATCATTGAGTCATTTGTACATTCATACAGTAGCTATTCAAATCATTTGTTCAATTATCCAGTCTTTCATTTGTCTACATACTATATTCATCCATTTTTCACCCAATTCAATCATCCATTCTATTATCCAGTCATTYGTTTACCTGTCACTTTCATCACTTGATTCACTTGGCTCCYTTTGACTGACTGATGCAGATTTGCTCTTTGTTGGTTTAGACTTTCGACTTCCCGTAGTTTCTTCATTGAGAAACCCTGAATCTAATTCTTCTTCTGGTCGGAATTCTTCGATGTTTGATGGAGGAGGTGAATTTGGTAGGGACTTGGGATTGGTTTTAGCTTCTGTCATGAAARTAGAAAGTGTGTTGGTTTTAACATAAAATAATTAATAATTAACTGAAGTAAAAGGGATGTGGAAATGTTAATTGTTTTTACTAGTTTGTCAATTAAAGCTAATAATTAAAAAAGTGAAATGCTGATAGCTTCCTAAATAGAGGTCCCTTGGCCATTCTCCAAGAGTTATCCTAAAATTCAGGTTGTATTTTCTGCCATTAAGGCAATCAACAACTGCACCTTCCACGTTAGATACGTTTGGCTTTGACCCAGAAAACCATCTTCTAACTGATGAAACACTGGACTCTTTATTTGCYGCAGCTTCAGGTGGGTGGGTGTCTCTTTCATTAGCTGTCGTAGGAGGTGATCCACTGCCTGCTGAAGATGTTTCTCCTGCAGTCTTGGCCGCTTCTGCTGCTGCCTTTGCAGCTGCTTCTGCTTCCAATTTAGCATCTCGTTCTTGTTTTTTCTTGTTGAGAAAATCAAGGTATCTAAATACAATTATGGTTAAAATAATTAATATGTCTTTAACACATTTACTWTATTTTATATTTAGTATTTAATTCATGCCTTTGTAGGGAGGGGGACTGGGAGCCTAACACCAAAAATGGCAGCAAGGAGACTTTATTATTATTTTTATATCAAACATCTATTTTCTTCATACTTATCGTAGTCTTGCTCTTCTGTGTGCTTGTAAATCTGTAGTTCTTCTAAAGTTGACTAAGAAAGAACAAATATTTTACATTTTTAATGCAGATATTGGYAATGAATATTAGCTTCTTATTTCTAACCAACTAGTTTAATCTTTATGTCAATGCCATTATAAAGTCCAAAGTTCAACTTTAATTACCTCCATGTCCATTGCATTGACTTGAAGCTGTTTAAGTAGTTCCTCTCTCTGTAGACCAAGAAATATTGTTGATAACATTAGTGTTACTAGTTCAATATCTTAAATTATATTCACAAAACAATGAATTAAATTGATTGAGCTAATTATCCCTGAGAGCTAACTTGTTATGTATTAAGCTTATGTTCTAAAATTTTCAGGGTAAATAGATGATGCATAATGTTACCTGAAGTAAYAAGAAAGGGAAGTTTAAGAATGTATGAATATATTTAAGACCAAAACCATTCTTCATGGAGGATTCAGCATAATGTATAGGAGGAGAACGATCAGGCCTGAAAAACAAAACAATCAAATGCAGCTTATTCAACTATTTTCTATAATTTTTAAACTTCACTAAATATTTCTTTAATCCAAACCTTTCTAAAGTTTGTATAAAGCTAGTCACATCGTCAGGAACAATGAGTCTGTGCTCCTCCATGTCTCTATGGTTACCCTAGTAAAACAAACAAAATCTTTTTTAGTTGAATTATTCAATAATTAGATATTGGTGAGCTGAGACTGCTTCAAGTTTTTATTCTTACCAGGACAAGGACAGGAATATGAGAGGGGACTTTGGGGAGTTCTTTCTTTATATACTGCAGTGTCCTGAAGAACAATATATAATACACAAGATCAGTACAATATGGAGTGATTCTCTGTCAACTATAAGAGACTTAGTATACTATTAAGTTGTACAAGTTTTATGTAAAGAACAAAATGAACCAACAAATGTGAAGTGTGGCACTAATTATTAGCCTTAATGTTTTGACATTGCTGATAGAAAATCACTATAATCATAATATTTATAATGATMAGTAAAATGAAAAGCAAATCATTACCATGGTTTTGTGATGTCAAACAACATTATTACACCATGAGTTCCTTTATAAACATCAACAAAGTTGGCGTCAGCTACAACACTATCTTCTGCATCATTTGAACTCTTAAAGGAAAAAAAAAATGAAAAAACAACTGTTGTGCTTCCCAAAACATGGCTGGTTTGGCATTTATCAATGTGTTGTAAACTTACTGGTCCATCATTTTCTATTTTGAGAGTTTCACTGTTTTTCTTGCTCTTGCCTTAAAAAGATTGAGAATAGTTGTAAGTAATGTTGTCAAGTATACATTCATCCATATTTTGTAAAAAAGGATTATTTGCTATAATTATTTATAATTTTTTTGGAAATCTTTTTTGTGACCTGCAGCATCTAACAAATAAATGCACATTAAACAGCCTACTAGACACTCTTACCTATATCTACAACATCCCAGACATCGACCTTTACTACGTCATCAGTAGCTGAAACAAATTATAGGGTGTCAATGTGGGTGAGCTCTACCACAAATCTCTGAGAATTACAACTTATTGACTCTGACGTAGCTTATGGAGAGACGGGTTTGAAATGGGGAAATTTCAGTGTTATTTTGTCTGCGTCTCCAAACACTGAAAGAAAATCATGACAAATATTGTAGAAATTTGATATTTGTAAATTACCTTTGTAGCTCCAATGAATGCTGCCTGCCTGTGGAAGAATATTGCATTAACTTAACAGTGATTCAGTATCAGAGACAACCACCATCTGTTTTGAACATCAACTAGTCTAGACTCYGTATTGTGGTATTTGAGGGCATAGAAAGGGCCAAGTCCCTTGACATGATATTAAGGATACATTCAATAAAAAACAAATGAGGCACCTACAATTCTTAGGTTTATATACCTTTGGCAATGTTTTGGGGAACAAACAGGGGGAGGGATTGCAACTGTGGACCCATTTATATTGCATTGGATTTGCAGCATAAATGATGTACCTGAGTGATATATGGCAACTGACATTTAATTTAACTATAACAGTACCTGTATTTCATTAGTTGGGATGTAYTGATCATTAAAAGGTTTTCCTTGCAGTCTATGAAACATRCATGTCTTCCCAGTGTTTCTGTCTCCTTTGATTACAATTTTTACTGAAATGTAAACACGTTGTACTTTTCATTGCTACTGAACATAGTTTATACTAACTAAGTATTGAATTGTATATGATACAGACACTTATACAGAAAACACATGAAATGTTTTTTTTGTTTCAGTAATTTCGATTCAAATGACTTATCAGATCAGCTGATCTGTCACGCTTTGGCCAGCTGGATGGATTACGTAAATTTTCGTATCAAGATCTCACGTATATTACTGTAAATGTAAGTTCATTTATTAATTCGCGCCTAATTCCTCTTAAAAAAAGCAATTTAATAAACAAAACATCCATGTAACTAAATCCACATCAAATTAGAAGGTTAAGAATTTGAAAAGGCAAACATCCATGCATCAAATCGTGTGTTGGTAGCTAAAATAAGCAAGGAAAATGAAAGATCAGTTATTACTAAGTACTGAAATCATTAATGAATTATAAATTAGTAATAAATGCCGTCTTGACTTACGATTGTACTGCACTCCTCGAGCGAATTTCCTTTGTAATGCTTGACCCATAGCTTTTACGCCAGAAGGCATGCTTAATTTTGATTCCTCTGCCCCCATTCTTGTCCAGCGTTTTAGGGCGCTCAACATTATAAGCTTCGAGGGTAGGGATTGGTCGACCTACCACCTAAATCACATGAGGATCTAATGCAAACATATTCCGCGGATTTACAATTGTTTTTGAGTTATATTAGGTCGTGATCCATAAAACAGAACATTTAGAGTCTGTTTTGCCTGGTGGCTAAGCTCTTTGCAAAGCATTATGGGACAAAGTATTTTTTCCTTTTTTTGCTCGATAAATTTTCGACATTGTGAAAATTGGCTTTAATTTATATTGAAGATATTTTTGTTAAAATTTTTGAGAATATTACTATGAAAATTGAAAATATTTTTCTGACTTTGGAACTATAAAAATGTTAAAAATTTTCAAGTAAAACAAAATGTACAATATTATAAATGTTTTCTAATTGTATATTTACTCTTTACTAAACAGAAATAGAGCATTACTACGGCAATTACATGTATATTTATTATCATTTCATGAAGTACTCGCTGAAGTTCCGGTTTATACATTGTGTTTCCGGTTTGTAACACCGCTGACACAATAACACTGCACTTTGAACTTTCCTTTTGAAAGAGAAATTATATTGTGGAAGTTCTCAAGCTTTTATACATTTTTTCTACTATAGAAATTCCATATTAACATTGAATTATTATTCTTGAACATATATAGCAATGGTAAGTCTTTAGAAGATGGATAAAATAGTGCTTTGTCATCCAATTTTCCTTCAAACTTCTTGTCATTTTGTTTCGTCTGATTTCTTTTCTTTCTTTAGGCAACAGGACTTGATAGGGTAGCTGGACTTGGAATGTCTTTGCTGGGAGTTCTGATATTTGTGTATTATACTTTGTGGGTTATATTTTTGGTAAGTTGGATGTCTTTTACTTATTTATTTTTCTATCAAAGCTTTTGTTGTCATGGTTTTGGTGCTGTATAAAGTTTGATTCTATGTGTAAGATTTGTCCAAAACCCGTTTTCTCAACAGCATTGTTACATAAGCAAAATTATTGTTTAGAATGTAAGGATTCTCTCATGATATAATGCAAGATATCCATATTTTATTTTTTCTTAATAGCTTGTTAATGTTGTTTCAATGTATATTTGACATTGTACAATGTCTTTCCAGCCATTTTTAGAACCTGGACATGTGTTACATAAGGCCTTTTTACCTAGAGCATATGCTGTTATTATCCCAATTGCTGCTGGAGTGGTTCTTCTTGGACTAATAGGTATCTTTTCCAAATAATCTTTGAAAACTAAAATACTATATGTCCTTCCTTTCTTCCCGCCCCTCCGTCCCCCCCCGCCCCCCCATTCAACTGCAATACAATTGGTCCATGGGCTAAAATGCTGTTTTTCTCAACAAAATTGCTTCAAAAATTAAGTGTAAAACATATCATTTACATTGTCACTACAACTATTTCATTAACAACGCTAATGCCGCTCACAGTTAGTCTCAGCCATCTGCTAACAACTGCTTGACAAGTCATAGCCTTCCTCTTTCATTTCCCCTTGGGCATCCCAGAGTTCAGCTGGCACCCTCAGCTACTTCTGACAACGATTTTTGTTTATATTAATTCAGTTATTCTCTTTATTCCCATTTTCATTCATTTTTTTCATATTTTTGTGTTTCATTTAAGGTGTCTTCATAGCTGTTGTTTTGCTCAAAAGTAAAAAGTCAGAAAAGAAGTCAAATTGAGGTGTCAATCAATTCAAATGTAAATATGACAAGATGGGTGTTGTGCAGGTGTCTTTTTAGGACAAATTTACAATGTCTTTGATATGAAATCTTATGAAAATTATTACCCCCTGGGATTAGCATAAAATAATGTAATGAATTGTAGATCATTATAATTTTATTGCGCAAATGTCAAAATCAAAAATAAAGTGTTAACACTTTTCTTAAAGTTAGATTTTTAAAATTTATTTGGTTGCATTTGTTAAAAAACTCCCTTCCCTCCCCTCCCCTAGTATATTTTAACGTCCATACAGGAAGTTCCAGCATGTCAGCTTGATTGCCATAGCAAAGTAAAAATGCTCCATTATCCTATATGAGGCAATCGTTACTGAAAAGAACCTTGCACAATGCTCTTGGCCTTCTTCTAGTCCGCTATACTGTAACCATGGCTCATCAAAACTCCATCATTGCAAGCCGCTATCCTAGTGTTCATTCAGCTGGAGTAAGCGAAGTTCACAACGTCCCAATCCAGGTTATCATTCGCCCTATACCTCCGATTTTGGAAGAGGAAAAGGTCGCTTCTTTGATGGAAACTCTTAGGGTAAGAAATATCTATTCATTAGTAAATCTCATCAATACTACAAGCAGCTGGCAAACAAAATCGTCACTTAAAATTCAAGTTCTTAGAGCAATCCACGTATAGCTTTTCGGCTTTTTATTTGCGATAAGTTAAGGTTAACTTAATTGAAATCAATATTTCGAAATTTTTACAAAGACACGCTATTCCTTAGGGATTTCTAAAACCGATTTGATTGTGGAAGTTGAAGAATTTGGATTCCTCAGTCGCAGCTGCCTGTTTGTTTACACAGTGAAGGCGATTTCAAAGGTTATAATCTTGTTTTCATAAGTTTTTAAAGGCTTCATTCAGCCGACGACCTGTGTGGTGCTTCAGAACAGTAGCAATCATTACTCGAAAGATAATTTTTTTAACCCACACATTTTCAAACATAGCGAGTAAACAGAATTTTTAATTAGGAACAAATTTAATTTCTTTCAAAACTACAAAATTGTGATCGCTCGATTCCACCATTGTCGTATGGTTKTATCTAAAGTGTTTTTTTATCCCAGTGCATTATGTCCAATTATTCCATCCTAAAACAGGTGGTAATCCTAGCTTGTTTACAAGGGTAATACTAAGTTGCATGCTTGATTATAAGTTATCCACTCCGTATAGTTTTTTGATATTTTTATGATCTGGATGAAGATAATTTATTTGGTGGATTGTGTATTCACCTTTTGCCAACCAGTCCTTGGTGTGCAGCTATTTCAGAAAATGTTAAATATCTGAATGCACTAATTGTTGCAGCATTACAGATGATAATTCTACATATACTTATAAGTTCTTGACTTGTAAAGAGCAGCAACAATTGCGACAATCTGTTCATGTACACTATTTCAACCACATATAATATGCTTTACTTTAGTCATCAAATACCAAGTACCTAGTACCTCCCATTGATGTTCTATGGATTAAAGGCAGACTTGGTGGGGACTATTTTTATTCATTTGGAGGATGCCACAGATATGAAGCCTATAAGAGACTGAATTTTAAGACAATCCCATGCAAGCTTATACCATCAACTGTGGAAAACCTCAAGGTGTACTTAGGGTCGTCTGTCCCAGACTTGAAGTAAGATCTCCCAGCATTATTCATGAGATGTTATAGTCCAATTTCGATATACTGGTTAAATGGTTATAATGCATATTGCATGAAGACAAGGATCCAGTGAGACCAATGAAATATCTATAAATAGTATTATTTTCCCTGGGATTTTTACTTCAATTATTTTGTGAGCTAGTTGCTAGTCAACAGAATGAAATATTGCATGGTGATTGCATGGATTCCAGGAAGGTCTATTTTCATGGAGAACTTTGCCTTCAGTAAATCTTAAATCTGGCAGTCAAGTTTGCAATTGCATAGCTGAAACTTCACTCTGCTACCGTAAAAAGGGCCATTTCACATTTCCTTGAGCCATCTTGGTAATGCATGACAGTGAAAGCATCACAAAGAAAGGCTTTTCTTTTTAACTCAATGATAGTCAACACCAATTGACATATTTTTAGTGCAATTAATCCAACCACCCTAGCGAGACTTGACTTGAAACAAGTAAACCATTGACAATGAGAACACAAATTTCCATAATCTCCTGGACGGCAATTAGTTTAATTAATCCATTTTACAAATGTCACAGACATTTCAATGAATACACAATGGACACTTAACTTGAACAATATCGTTAATATTAATAATATTATAATTACCACAATAGAATACATTAAATAATAATATTTTATGCATATGTACTTTACTCCAGTTTTTAGTTCTGTTATGTGTAATGTGTGATAAATTGTATTTATTCTGTTCATTGTTAGAACTTAGTAATTGCACTTTTGAAAATGTTATGGTAAGTAGTCAAGGAGCTTTACATGCAAGTCATCCTGTGAAACAAGTGTATCCAACAGACTGTCAAGCTGATGACCTACCGGATGATTTTGTATGCTCTTATGCAAGCAAATTTGATCACCTCCTTGGCTTAATGTCAAAATCATACAAACAGAAAATTAAAACAAAACACTCAAAGATAAGTGGTGTAACATTTCATAGACTTATGAAAACACATATTGTATGTACATAACAGAACTCAAAATGTAATTAATATATCTGTGAACTTAATATGATCCAATAGCTACATTTGTTTGTAATAATAATTTAATATTTATAAATAATATGATAATTTAATCATCCAAGATCTGAATGTCTCAATTTGTTTTTCTTTTTTTTTCATAAATATTTTATCATAAAATTGTAAACTCCCACAATGCATTTAAGCCCTTATATAAATCTATATATTATTATTAATAATAAACAATAATTTATGAATATATCGAATGAACTTTGCATAGAAGTTATGGTTTTCATAAAATGTTGACGTAAAAAGAAATAAATTCTGATAGAAACATTAAATATAGTGAAAAACACTAGTAAATCTACTGAAAACTGAAAACTCACTTCTAGTCTAATAGACTTTTGTTTGTAGAGTACAGAAATTCCTTTTCATAGTCAAGATTACTTCAAAGATTTATGAAAACCAATTCTTACAACTGTATAACATTACAATAAATATATTTTTAACATCTTTTCAATACATCTTTTCTCCTTTTTGTTCAAATGTCATTTCTTTTTTTAACTTTCATTTCCATTTAATTGGATAACATCCTTTGAAAAATACCTTGAACTGAAATTCAAGTCAATTATAAACTGTCATGATTGATAAATTTAGTTGGAGCCCTTGCCATCATCCCACAATGGAGAGTCAAAGGACGTGTTAGTAGAGCTACCAGTATCTTGCTCTTTACTACTGCATATGCTACTGCAAGGTGAGATGACATTTACTGGTGGCAACTTCATAAAGCTAGACTGCTGATGCACATCATTGTGAGCTGTAGTTATGATTGACAGAGGAGCTCCATACAGCTGTCTGTGTGGACAGACGCCAACATCAGTTGAATGGATGGCTGAGTAATTATTATGGTATAGCTGCGGGTCCTTATGAGCATGTAAAGTTGGTATTTCTTTATTCAGTGGTTGATTAATACTGTGAGGATAATGTAAGTATCCATGATGTATATCTTTGCTTAAAGGACTGTACGGTGAAGCGCAGCCAATTCCTTGGATGTATTGGTTGTACTGATGAGGGTTATTGGTGCAGTGCTGCCCACGGGGGTGGTACACAGGAGCAGTATTGTTTGAGAAAGCTGTGTAAATAATGTGGTTGACTTCACCTGACGTCAATGGTGCAGATGGTACAGAAACAGGTACAGGTGGAATTATTCTGAAATAAATAAACATCAATAAATACAACCATGTCAAACTTTTATTTTAACCTAAAATCTTTAAAGTGAAATCCAACAAACCTCATTGCTTTTTGTTTTGAAATGTTCACATCTTTCTGAGCTCGTTTTCTGGTCATACCAACAGTAGCTGCAGAAAGGGCATCTGCTATCTGAAATATGTAGAAATATCAATGAAATTACCAGATTTTCAGTAAAAAAATACAAGTTACTTTTATGTACCTCTTCCATGACAGCAGGCGGTATTCGATCATTAATGAGTTTAACAAATTTCACAGTCATTTCCAGGATCTAAAGAAAACTTATAGTTGTAGTAAACACTTTGTTTTTTATTAACAGAGGGAAAGAAGGAAAGACTAATTATCATTGTAATTAATGTCCAAAGTGGATGAAAGTTTGCAGTTATCATGTCGTTTTTTTTTTGTTACCGAGGCCATGTCTGTCTTCTTTCCTGAAATGTTTGGGAGCAAGTATCTCAACCGATCACAGCTTTCCTTTATTCTTTCTCTATAAAAGACAATAGAAGACACTGTAAACTATGAAATGAAAGGATAGCTATAATTCAACAATGTATATGTGTGTTTGTTTTTTAATCAAAACAAGATAATGAAAGGCCTACCTCCGGATCCTTTCTTTAGAGCTGTGTTTGGACAAGTCATCGGGTAGCATGGTAATCAACATATCTTTAGAACCTGGTGTCCCGCTGACCATGTATGCAGACTCACGGCCAGATTTTAATCTATCAGACAACGCAGACTCTGTTTCARAAACACTTTCCATGCTTTCGGTAACTGGTCCTTTTTCTCGGTTTTCGCTGGGCGTTGCTGGTATTGTGTTGCTGTGGTTTTCATGAGGTATTAAATTACTTGAACTAGTCGTTTGTGGTGTTCTGGTGTCCTGAACAGTTTGTGAAGGGTATGGAAAGTTATGTGGTATCTTTAACTGGTTTGACATGGTAGCAGGCTGGTGGCTGAGCGCACAAGATATAGGATTGACACACTGTCCATGAAATAATTGATTTCCATTACAGTTACTGAACTGGTCAGTATAACTTGTTGGAATGGGCAAAATATTTGGTGAAATGTTCTCCGAGATCTGGTCATTTGTAATTGTCCAGGAAGTATGGTGTCTGTTGTAAATTGTGTCTTGTAAGTCACTTATTTCTCTTACTATACAACTGTTACTTCCCAATGACTGCCTTCTTAGTTCTTGGTTTATAAACGGTGATGGCTGTCGTGTGTTGGTGTTTCCTGGAATTGTAGACATAGAGTTAGACCTTCCTGGCATACCACTAGTGTTTGAATCTGTATAAAATCCAGTGCTGTGTCTTGAGCCCAAAGTTACATGATTTGCAAGAGCTTCTGCGCTGGAAAATGTTGATTCCATTTTATCACTGAAAAATCATTGATTTTATCATTAAGAAAATTTCCAATCAAATCAAACATTCATTCTCTCAATCAAATGGTAAGCCCATAAAATGTTTAATGGTTATTTGCCAATCCCAGCCATGCCTCTATGATGATAAGGGTCTGTGAAAGACATGATATCTAATAAAAATGTGATTGATGGGTAGGGGTATAATGATGACTGACAGCTACAATCATGATAATTATTAAAAGATAAATATTATCAGTAATTCAATATGGAACTTGTGTTTGTTATATTTCTAACCTGTCTTTATGTGAAAAGCTATCCTTATGATAACCAAGTAAGGACTGTTCCTCCGATTCCCGAATAATTTCTTCTGCTTTTCTGGCCACTGCAACATCGTCATCTGGACTTTCAGGTGTGAGTGGCAGCCCTATTTGAACCAAAATAAATGATTGCCATTTTTAATATTATTAGTGATTTTTGGCTGGATGGGGAGGGGTGGTAGTAAAAGCACTTATATATAACTACCTCTGAAAGGAATGATTCCTGCATATTTCAAAAGTAATTGATTGACGGTGTCTTCTTGAAGTGGAAATGTGATGGCTTCAGTGAGACCAGAGGAAACGGAACAAAGCTCTGAATCTAAAATTAGCAAGGAAAGGTGTTAACGTCTGGTATTTTTGTCAATGATATTTTTAGTACTGTAATCAGGGGGAGATGAGCAGATGACAAAGAATGGAGTAACGGGGGGGATGTGTTAAACTATATACCTTGATCAGCTTTCACACCAACTATTGCCACTGTCTTATTTTGTGAGGAAGAGCTGAATCTGGGGGAAAATTATTTATAGCATTTAAAAAAAAATCTGCCTGTATTATTCTGTATCTAGCATTGGATTGATGTTGGTTGTATTGTTTTTATGTGATTTCATAGTTTTCACTGCGGTTGTATCTTTGTCTTCGACTATATTTCAATTGTTTAGAAAATAATTAGAATTGCGCAACTTCAGGGGAGCCATTTTATACTACCAAAGAAATCTGAATAGTTTCATAAATTTTCGATTTGAATTCACATGTATTACCTTACAGTCCTGCAGATTTGCGAGATGCAATTCTCCCCCAAACACTTGTCCACAAATACCAAGGCCAGCTTTTCTCTGCTGCAAACGCTCGGAAGATTGTCAACAGACGAGACAACCACAGGAATGTCTTGCAATAATGGCATACCAGCGAGCTGTTTGCATATATCACTAACCACGCTTTTACCAACCACGAGAACTTTCTTCGTGACATTGCCCTAAACAGTCGGAGCGAATGGTAAGACGAGAACAACTTTGTGACGAGTATCGATTAGTTTACGAAAGTTACAGCTTTGAAATTGAAAGTTACATTTCCGAACTAAGTTTACAACCTTTTCTTCGACAACTTCGTCCACGTAATCTGACGTTGGCTCACACTCGTGACGGATAGAAGCTTTACATGATATCTCTACGGTTTCGGAAGGAGTCGAGCAACGAATATCCGTGTTGTCGGAACTCGAAGAGAACAGAGCTCTCCTGATGGAAGCCATTTTGGAAATTGAACTTTTCTCATACGATATCTCAAATTTTTTTGAAATTTCCTTCAAGAATTCTTTCTATTCTATAGAATTCACGAATTGTTCGAGAAAAACAAAAGAAATTACTAGCACGAGAAATTCAATGGCGGCCTTGCCCGTGCTGGGAACACTGCAGACGGCTGTGAATTCAAAACTTGCCGCGCACCTTGCTTGGTTACACGTGAAAGCTGGGCGGGTTTATAGTGCACACTCTGGTCACGTGCATGAGATTCACGAATCTCATTGGTCAAATACAATATTCCAAAAAATACAGAAAGAAATCRCTACAATTATTCTCTCCTTCTATTATTTTCCTTTTATTGAACGTTTGAAACAGGTTAAGGTGATGTAAAATATTTCTCCCTTTCTACTGTTTTATTTTTCGATTTTTCATAATGCTGGTTTCATGGTGTTTTCATCATTAAGTAGTATTTTAGCATGAATTGAAAATGTGAGTGATTCTGTGTTTCAAATCAATGAAACTTACCCACGTGGTGCCCCGCCTTCGTGGTCACTTGTTCTACAACCTCAAACTGCATTAGCATATCTATCTAGTCTCCTTAGCAGCCTTCTTTTAGGAGGGACTGGAAGCCCGGGATAAGGGTAGGCTCCCTGTCTTGGCTGACTTGCTGGACCATGTACCACTAGAGAAAAAAACTTAAGTCCCAGGTCTTCGTGCGAATCTTTCAAGGAACGTCATGCAGTTTGGTGRGCTTCCTGAAATTGTGATACATCAATGTTGCTATAAGGTGATGTGCATCGTGTATAAATTAAGTTCGAAGTCAGGAAGTCATTCAATTGCCCTATCGCATAATTACGTCACACGGAAACATTCTATCGTGTTTATGTAAACTGTATACATGCTGTGACGTCATTATGTGATAAGGTAATTGAATTATATTTTTTTTATTAGCATATGACCTTAATAAAACCTAGAGAAGCGCTTCCGTGTCGGCGACAACCAAGAAGCTTTCTCGTCGCCACATCTAGAGTTAGATTGAATAGTTTCCGCATTTCATAACGTTAAAAATGGGATCGAATGGCCTCAATAAATTTCAAAGTGACCGCATAATTTGCGCCTTGATATCTGAATGCCCACTAATCATTTCTAAATATCTTGACTCAATCTTTTGACTTTTCATGTATTTTTTCATAACATTGCATATTTTTCCAGCTTTTCCATATCACAGTTTTTCATAGTTTTCCAGTTATAGTATTTGAGTCTAAAGCAATAATTCAAGTGGTATCATATTCAGCCTCAACCAATAATTCTTATATCATAATCAGCGTCAACGATTAATTCTCATATCATATTTAGCCTCGACTAATAATTCTTCATATCTACTCAGCCTCAAACATTAATTCTTCATATCATACTCAGCCTCAACCAATAATTCTTCGTATCATACTCAGCCTCAACCAATAATTCCTCATATCATACTCAGCCTCAACCAATTATTTTTTATATCATTCTCGGCCTCAACCAAACAACTCTTTAATAAATGCACATCCCGATCTTGACACTTATTCTGTCATGACACAGCATTGAATAGAAAAACCGTCTTTCAAAATACATGAATACAATAATTGAATAGTAATTTCTTTACCTAAAATCGTTCTTTAGACTTTGAGCAATTATTCAAAATTCCGTTTCATAATACAAATAATCTGATTGACTGGTTTAGAGGATTGGAAAATACACTACCAAAATGTGTAAAGATAACTTGTCGCTGATTGGTTGGTCTGAAGATGTCATCTTACAGGTGGTCTAAAATCGCTTTTATGAATGTACAGAGAAAATAGGAATGTTTAAACACGGACACAGGAAGGAATGGGAGAAAGACAAATGTTTAAAATAGTCAAAACACGAGGGAAGAATGGGAAATGGAAAGGGTGGGAGAAAAATGAGAAAGAAAGTAAAGAAGAGATTAAGAATTTAAACAGAAAGGAAGAGAAGGAGAAGACGAATAAAATAACTATAAAAGGAACAAGCAGGCAGTGGAACAAAGTAAAAACAAAACGAGGAAAAAGAGAAACAATTAACAACAAGAGGATATAAGAAAGGAAGAAAAAACATACAGATAAGATAAAGATCAGAAGAAAAAATATCATCTTAAAAAACAAATGAAACAAAAAGATAAACTTAGAATAATTGAAAGCAAGGTTGAAAGAAAGAAGAGAATTAAGTAGAAGCTGCACAGGAAAAAAAGGATRAAATATTGAAATCAGGTGATAGAAAAAGAAAAAAGATTTATCATGGTCTTGCATGGTAGGCAAAGTGACTATAGACTAGAGAAGAACAAAAATTTAAATAAAGTAATAAGGAAAACTGGAAATATTTATTTGACAAAATTCACGGTATCACGTTAATGTAATCATATTGTATCTACATTTAATAATCAGATTTTTGCGAATTATCTCGATTTCTGCATGATAGTCAAATTACCCTCAAATTAGTCCCTAAAATCATGGTGCTCTTACATAACAAAGCATCAATTTTTTCATTGTTTCCTTTCCAAGAACAACAAAAATCAACTAAATTGCGATCAAGATTTAAAGCAAATGTTTGAAAAACAAAGCTAACATGTTACACAATATGCGCCMGCATTCCATCACGAATGCGGATGTCTATCTGCGCRCCTATATTTTTTTCCCAAAATAAAAATTTCATCTCCTTGAATAATTGGAGAATATATGCTTTATCAACCGAATATAGCCTTCGCGATTTAAAACCGCCCAATTACATTTCAAGGGCTTCAAACAATCAGATTTTTACATCATTGAATTTTTGTTTAGTGTTACGCAGGGAAAACAAAGAATGAAAAAGAAAAAACAATAACAAAGCGAGTAATAAAGCAATGTGTAGCATTCCGAGTGTTACTGTTATTAACATCTTAATAGAAGTAATTCCTTGTGCATGAAATTAAGAAACATTTGATATGTATACAGCTTGGCAGGGTATTTATGCTACAGGTTAAGATTACATTAAAAACACTCAGTTCTTCCCAGCATCCTACTGATGTTTACGATCTCTACGCTTTCTTCGACAAGGACTCCACTTTACAGACGTTTATATTCTTGCAATAGCTTTGCAGAAGCACCTACTGTCTTTAGCGCTGACCAACTTCACAAGTGAAAAAGCGAAAAGTCAATTTGTGCACTGAGGAAGGGGCTTACTAAAATGACACTGCGCCAGGTGCGCTCTAGGCGCATTAATTATTTATCTATCTGGGAATAAACGCTATACATTCGACCCAACTTTTCCCCATCTCCTTTCGTTTGAATCTTGCGGAATTCTTGCAGCTATTATCCATTGTCGGCAAGTTTTATTGTTTGACAAAGGAAGAAAGCTCCGGCGAATTGTGGTTGGGGACATCACTGAGTCACACGCACAAATATACATATATATTGTTTTGCGAATGATTTGATTAACTACAATTCCCTTATCGCGTCCACGTCTATGCAGTAGCACCATAAATATTGCAAAACCCAGTCGATTTCATTTTCTATATAAAGCAAAAATTATTTGCGTTCCAATGGAGAATTTCATTTCGACTCCAATACAAAAATGCAAAGTGAAATGACAGAAAGACCACGTATATTTCGCGCGTTTTCACGCTCTGAACCGCGTGTTTCAAACGAACCGGTTCTCTCATGATTTATAGAAATTACTCGTTAGTATGAAACAAAGGTATGTTTATGGCATTCGACTGACCAATCTATTGATGTCTTTGAGAATTGCTACACAGTAAAAGCCTTTAACTAACAACAATATAAAATTCCGAGAGAAATTGGTCTCCAACTAAGATAAGAGAAAAATAAATACAATGCGGCACGAAATGGAGCAAACTCCGCATCCACGGGATGACTTCATTTTCTACCAAACTTGATGATGTAAATATTTTTGCAATGAAATGATAACAAATCCAGGGAGAGAATCAAACGAAAAAAAGACACTTCCGGAAATAAACACTTATACTGTAATTTTTATGGTCAAAATGATTTGAATTTTTTTCAAAGATCAACAACAGTCGTTGTTTAGCACTAGAGCCATAACCCTTTGTTGCGTCGAATATAATTACACATAAACATCAAAACTTAAAGCGTTTTGAATTTCGTCAAATGCACTAGAAGCACGACCGCGTATGTGAAGGGGGTCAATGCGATGAAAGCATTAACTTATGGATAATCCACACGCCTCCACTTTTCCACTGAAAACGCAGTTTTATCTCCGTATCATCGGCTCACGCCTCAATTTTGCACGTCTAAAGACGGAAAATATCGAAGAGAAATGTGCGCACGGATCGTCCACCGCAGACGATCAAGGCTGYTCTACTTAGTATTTTCCGGTTCAAAAAGCGGGATTTGTCGAAACAGGTGAACTAGGTGGGCTTTGAGGTATGCGTATTGTGATGGGCATATTACGGTCCGCCCAAAGAGGAATACTACTGATCACGTGACTGGTGCCTCGCGGGGAACTGTGATAGGCTGTTGTCATCATTGGCTTGTGTTGTAATTAGCATATAGTGTCAAGCAAGACAAGCCGAAAGATGGTTCGGAGACGTCCAAGGCTGGAAAGTAACTCGTAAAACAAGAAAACCAAGGACAAGAATTTTATAAATAATTGTTGAACAGGTGTAGGAAGGGTTAGGGATTTTCAAATACAAGTCAATATGGCGGATATGCGTCGTCCTTCGTCTGTGCCTTCGGAAGACTATTACACCAAGTCCAGAATGACAAATGCGAGAGCCCGTAGCACTTCGGCTTCGATTCAGGGAGACCCAACACCGATAACATTGGGAAGCATAATAACTTCAAACAGATCATTATTTTTACTGTCCGAAGGGAACATAATACGTAGAGTATGCAAGAAAATCGTGGAGTCGAAAGTATCCTTTTTGCAAGCGTTTGACTGTTGCTTTCAATGGCGTTGTCTATGTCAGTGTACTACATGGCATAAAATATTTTGTTACAATGTTTAAGGAAGCACCATTATTCTACATGGAATAGTTATAAGTTTAAAATGAGTTTACAGTGAAGTATTATTTTCTTCATGTAAGCGTGTTGAATTTTACGACTTTGTGGAGTTTTTGCTTCATGTTATAAGCCTTAACAGCGAGCAAGCCTTTTGAATATTTTATTCTGTTGACTATTCTTGTGAATTGTATTCTTTTAGCGGCAAATACTCCATTGCCTGARAAGGATAAATCAGATTTGAACGTACAAATTGTAAGTAGACGCTATCTTCCGTTCCTTCTCTTTAAAACGTGAGGGAACTTTTATTCATTTGAGAAATGCGTGCGTGTCTACACCGACCGACAATAATTCTAATGCATGACTCGACTTGTGTTGCAGGAAAGCCTTGAAATATATCTACTGGCAATTTTTTGTTTAGAATGTGTGTTAAAAGTTTTAGCTTTGGGCTTTATACTTCATCCTGGCTCATATTTACGAAGTGGATGGAATATACTGGACTTTACGGTCGTCGTAACAGGGTAAGTTATCATTGAATTCATGTATAAATGCTCTAGTTATTATTATGTATATCTCCCCTCAACGAAATCATAACACTTTTTTACCGGCGATTTTTTCTTCAGTTTACATCCATATATCTCTCGTAAATCAATTTGTTTGTTCACTGAAGTGAAAAGCGAATTTTGGGAACACTATTGCATATAGACTTAGTAGGCTGCAATTCGTTCATTTCGGCTTTTTGAATTGTGATTTTAGAGATTTTTTTTGAGCGATTCGTTAAAATAATCTGGAAGCGGATGACCTGATTCAAGGCAACAGGTACCTATGACAGTAAACAATATGAGGAACATTGCATACACCTCAGGATCAAAACAATCTTTCCGCCAAGTTCGACGAAAATCCCCGTCGACAACCATTTGCCTTGTCAAGAATCAAGAATGTAGAAAGACAAGAAGAGAGAGGAACTATGAGTTCATCTCTTAGAAACAGACACACAGTTATTACATGACTTTTTTTCCTTCGTTGCACATACTTTTACTCGGCGAATTAGGCTAATGGTTGGTCTAAAACAAAATCCTCTACATCCCCAGACGCGAGCAATGTTTACAATTTTCCTTTGTTCGGCTTGATGACTCTACAGAGACACATTCGCACGTTTTTCTTTTTGTTAGTCTTATCCACCACGCTTTTAAGACATGAATTTTAAGAAAATCATTCTGAACTATTGTAATACAACTGTGAGGATATTTTGACAATTTGCAATGGAGAGTTTTAAGTTTTCGCGTTCCACCCTGGCATCCAATCGTGTTAAATTATTTAACATCTTCACAAATTCTAACAACTTCACTCGCAAAAGTCAAAGAAATACATCAAAAAGTCGACTTTGAGAGATACTCCTTCTGAATCTAGAAATTAAGATTAAAATTAACAATTATTCGTTTTTAAGCATTGGGTAGTTTACTTAGCATTTTGAGGTGAAATCTCTCACTGCTAACATTACTAAATAGCATAACTGCACTGAATTGGCTTCCTGTTTATCGACTATTTATATTGCTAAAGTTATTTTCAGTTATACGCGATTTCTACAAATTGAAGACACTTCCATGCAGCACGTGAATATGCCAGGAATGCGGGGGAAAATTGAGTAGTCATAGTAACAGAAATTGTTGCGTACAGCGTAAAGACACTGGCAGAATCAAGAAGGAATTTTTTWCGACGGAATAGTTTGCAAACTAGTTGTTAGAAGAGCTCTAATACTTCGGAATTGTTTTGAAGATTATTACTTAGAAGAATTACAAGAGGCCTAGTCGGTGGCATTTGTTATCAAATTGAAACAAAATGATTTTGTTACGAATTGTAAACACGACCCGACATAGCGCAGTATTACTTCGATTTTATTGTTCTTTTTCCTAGAGGCTCTTATGTTAGGCTTGAGTCTAATCATTTTTTGCATTTAGGATAAATTATTCACTATTTTAGGGCGAATTCGCGTAGTGAAAATCATTCCACCTGTAACGCTTACAAAGTGAATTTGAATTTCATTCACAATATGCTAATCTCGTAAAATATCGTCATCGTTGAATATATGCCAAAAGGCTAGCCGCGCGCGATACTGATGCTGAAAACGTAAAATAACCTTGAAAAACATTCAAACAATGAGCTTTAAACGGAGTTATATTTAACAAAGGTCTTGAACAATTGAGGCAATGGTGTATTTAATGCCTAATCGACTAGGTAATTTATGCGTTATCTGATATCTGGCCTCCTTGGTTGAGTAAAGAAATATCTCGCCAAATCAGGTCGAGCGTGAGTTATCCAATGACTTTCTGATATTCAAATCAACTGAAAGTGGGAATCGCGATTGCAAATGGTGGATCACTTAAAGTGTATTGGCGAGCCAAACGGGCGATAACGTCATTACTCCAAATATATCTCCAGTCTCCATGCAAACATTAGCGGAATTTAACATATATTACTGCTCGTGCGTCGTCTCGAAAATTTGTAAAACCTGGAAGGTTCTTGATCAAGATTGAAATAAAAAAACTCACAGAACATTTGACGATAAAATCGGAAGTTTCAATTAAAAAAATTAAGTTAGTTTGTTATTATTCTTGACATTGACCCAATATTTTTCGTTGATGAAAGTTAATGTCTGTGAATGCGAAAGTGAAAAAGTGTCCTTTTTTTAAGAGGAAGAAAGAAATAATATCGATGAGAATTAAGATTAGGATTTGCATCCATTCAAAGTGTGAACTACATTTAGACATTGCTAAGATACTTAAGATGGACATTTTGCTTTCAGTAAATATATCAAACCGTTTAAGTGAAAACTTGTTAAGATTTTGAAAAAATGGGAAAATACGCATCCTAGATAACTGAGAACTTCAGGACACATGCAAGAGTCATAATAATACAATGCAAAATGCCCAAAAACTAGGTGAATTTGCATGTTTTGAGGGATTGCAAAAGACTTGTTGCTAGGAGATTTTCCTTTTATGCTACATCAAATAACACTCTTGTGAAATAAAAATTTCTCATTCAAGTCGATTGACTATTTACTTGATTTTTACCTCAATTAGTTGAATCTATAAACTGCTAGCTAAAAGATGAATAATAATTCCCAAAGGGTTACAGAATACAGACTTAGTTGTGATATAATTGCAATTTTAAATGACACTTAAATGTAAAAAAATCCTAAAAACTAAAATGTTTTGACAATTCTGGTTAATACAACCTAAGCTGTACCGTAAATTAATATATTTTGAATCAATATTTCAACTATTTACAACTGATATTCATAATTGTGCCAAAAGCATAGAAATTTTGTGCAACAAATTAACCGAAAAGCAAATTTGATTTATAATAATAATAAATATGCTATTGATGTGTTAGGTGACAAGGAATATTCATAGCGGCAAATATTGTATCATTCATTATGAATCGACTGTGTTTACCCTAAAGTTACCTCAGGAAAAACCCTCACATGTTAAAATTTAAATTGTAGATAGTGTACAACCCAGTAGGGATTCTAGATTTTACAAAGAGAATTATAACATAGTCTCGTTGATTAGTCTTCGAAGTAAGAATATAATTCAGTTATTGGTCAAATTCCAGACACAATGTCCTTAAGACACATAAACTCCTTAACTCTGGCTGCCAAATTATGCCCACGGGGCTATTTGAAGCTTGGCACAGTGGCAATATATCTTGTGTTTTAACATATCTCCAGTAGACTGTTTTTACTTTGAATTTGTAAAATATAACCAACATTGCTGGAAAATAGCTTACTTATTCTTCAGACACACTATAATTCACCCAATAGATCAAATAGAAAGTAGTTACCATCTTGTTATATTGCTTAACTTGTGTAAAAAAGTTATCAAATAACAACAATCTTCAGCTGAAGAAGCAGAACCAAATCTACCTTAAATTCATATCCAACTTCTTGTGGTATACACATATGCATTTAAGTCTGTTTTTATAGGGATCGATAAAGCGAATTTTTACATGATCAGTGATATTAGTCATCAGAAGGGGTTTTAAGTTGTTATTGTATTCATTAATAAATGGTAGAATTGTTCATTGTATATAACAGAACACCACTTTGGTTAACAATTAATGCAGCTACAATTACATTTCCCTGTTAAAATAGAATATTAGAAGTTTTGATAATACCAGGAAATAAGTAAAAATGTTTGAAATGTGTTTTTTTATTATTATTTGTACTTAAGAATAGTGAACATGAAAAAAAATATAACTTGAGTTATCTCTAAACTAGCACAGCTGTGATTATTATATATTTGTAAAATTCTTAACTCTAACATTGGTTATTTTTTCATTCTTTCCTTGTTAAACACCTGCTGCCTTACTTGATATCATAAATATATGCTACCTTTGATATTATAAATACTAAAATTTKTTAATAGTATATAGACAGTGAATAGAACTCATTCTGAGCTTTTGTTGACCAACTTGAAAACCATTGAAAACTCAATTGATTCTCTTAAGAACAGCTACTTATATTACAATGGGGCCAGGTTTCATGGCCCCATTGTCTCTTCCAGACTAGAAGTTTCCACTTATCTTGCAAGTGTTGTGTATTATTAGCAGTTAGTTAACAAMATTGCTATTTCCAACTAGAAAACACCTACTTAACCACTACATTGACCTTTTATAGTATATGGACCATATTTTACCTAATAGTTATTTATAACAAACACTATTCTATTTAAATATCTTCAGCAATAGCTGGGTATAATAATAATTAATGCACAGCATGGAGAATTATTAAAACTTTGTCAACAACTTAGCACTCTTTTTTTTTGCAAGTTGTGTTAGCTTTGTGATCGCATTGAAGAATTGTAAGATATTRATACTAGGCTAACAAGATAAAAATATGTATAATCTCTAAATGTCACAGGTTCTGTAACATAACCATGGCAGGCTAACTTGACACAACCAGAAACATTATTGCACCTGCTTCAGCTGTGACACCTMAGCATTATCTTAAATAATCAGGGGTGGGGGGTGGGGTGTTAGGGAGGTGGGGGGAGGGAAAAACATTAGACAGGAAACAGTCTTATTTTTTAAAGTTTAGATGAACTCTAGCCTCCAGCTCATGCCTGAATTATAACATTTCACTCCTTTTTTGTGTATCTCTAYTTCAATTACTGATCTTCAAATTCTGCTACCTTAAAAAAGCCTGTGTCTCACCCTATATATTGGATTTGCCCCTGATCTGGGGTCATAGTGCTTAAGAGACTGAAATCATACCTTTATAAAAGCACTAAGCTTCTTAGAGATTAGCTAAAGTRCCTACAAGGAAAGCTTCTAATAGAATTATTCTGTGTTTTATAATATAGTAAAGTTTATTATAAATATAATGTGAAGCGTTTGATAATGTGTACACAAGGAAAGCAGAGAGTATACATTAGTTTGAATAGTTCAATTAACACAAGAAAAAATCTCTTTAATTTAAAAATCAGGTTGCTAGATTATAGCGAATCTTTTGAAAACGTGGCGATAATACAAAGCATTGCTCTTTCCAACAAATAAAATTTACTTGAAAATCTGTATATGGAACTTTAGTCATTGAAGACTTTGGGTGTGGATGTTTTCTAATTTTTACTCTTTTATTTAATCTTCTATCTAGATTTTATTTGAATTTCAGTTGTTTGTCTGTTTGCGTAAGATACTAACTCGAGAGATCTGAGTTCTTGATCCATTCCTTGAAGAGGCTACGAAGAACACAAACAAAATACTCCACACATGTCTAGTTCATCTCCTTTATACAAATCAATTTATATCCACTTTGTACAGCATTTTTAGTAGTAAAATCTTTTCAATGGAGTATTAAGTAACAAAACTACACCATAAATAATTTTCCATCTTCCATTTCATTCACACTTTTGATTGAATTTGCACAGTTCTCGTATTTGTTTGACGTCAAAATCAACCAATATTAAAAGTAAACTTAGGGCTACACAAAGTGACAACAAGAACTGACACATGTGCTTGCTTTAATATTGCTATTTAACCTTATCATGATAAAGGTTTTTGTCAAATTTCCTTTTTTTTTGAAGAGACTCCATTTCCTATATTGCAGACAAGCAGTGACAATATCAAGGACTTACATTTTCAATGCAAAATAAAATCCTAATATTCTTTTTACTTCAAAATTTTTGAACTCAGTCAATGGAATAAAGTTTATCTATTAGGAAACAGACACATTTCCAAGGAAAAATAAGTTATTTTAATAGTAAGTTTTTTTTATCTAAAATCTTTCAGTTAACTGACACTTATCTGTTTTACATCACAAAGCTGTCAAAAAAAATAATAGTATTGTTTTAAAAGTGCAAAAAATGACAAAATAGTTTACTGAAACTGAGTCATCTCAACATTTGCAAATAAAAAATATGCCAAAATTTAATGCAGTTTAGTTTTATTTTTTGAAACAATTTCTTAAGCTTACATCATATCATGTCATAGACTACATTTGCCAAAATGTAAGTGATTGACACTTGGCATAAAATAATTGAGGAAGCTATRCCCTAAATTCACTCTCCATAGCAAAATGTCAAAATGATCTTTCCATATTGCCAAAAGACAAAATTTGAACATCAAATAAATTGAGCAAAATGTCTGGTSTGTGGYCTYTCTCTATAAAATATAATATGTACGTACAAATACAAACGCTAAACCTAAACATTCAAAAATGAAATCTACTTTGTTGTGATTCATTTGCGCAATAAAAATCTTACGTTTATAACTCATATTGCAGCCTACTCAGTGAACTCATGTGAGTAACATTCAAAATCTAAATTTACTATAAATGACAAACTACACTATATTAAATTCAAATAAATTTTAATGCTATGAAAATTGGCCTTTTATAAAAAACAAAAACAATCCAAACAGTTAATTATTTCTCTCAGGAACCGAATGTGAGATAATTTATAATCAAATGCACTATCATTCTAAAAACTGTTAGTGAAGTAAACACCTCCAAGGAGATCACTATAAACTTGAATATATGAACCCTAAAAGTGTGTRCAATGTATATTGAGTCTGTTAATGTTTGAAATATTATAAAATATGGTATCTTTGTAGTGAGGAAACTGCACTAAAATAACTACAGTAGGAGTGATTTATTAAAAGAAATCCAGCATCARTTGGTCTTGCATCTTATTGTACTTATAGATTGACTACTGTGATATGATCTGCATTCCCGCTGTGTGGCAAAACCTGTGTTAGTGCAGTTTTATCACAAAAAAATAATACTTCAAAATGATTTATTTCCACTATCAATAATTCYCCACCAAAACTCCCATTATCATTTCAAACTTTAACATTTTAACATTATCACTACACCAACTGTGTGAGCATCCACTTCATGTAAAAAAAGATCAGCCATGTTCATTCATGACACAGCTGGCAAACGTGTCTGAGAAATGCAGTAGAAAACATGTGTAGCGCCATGAATATTAATGTCCTAACCGTACTGCGTAATTTGACTTTATTTGGACATCGTTTTGTTTTGAAGTTTAGTGTATTTGAAGTCATTATTCATTGACGGGAATCTACTTTTCTCTATGATTCAATTGAAGCTCTTGAAAAATTCATGGTTTAAATTGACTTGGATTTTTGTTGATTTGATGACTCATTCTGATTCAGCTTGTTTTGCATACATTGACAAGAACTGTAGTTCAACCACATTCACTGTTATAATACCACAAAAATGATTGTATTACTTGTTTCTAAAAATACATCCTAATTACATGAAAAGCAAAAGAAAATGATCCTAACAATTAAGTCTTCAAATATATCAAAATAAACTGTCTGAATTTTGGTTCTACAAAAATGATCATTTTTCAAGCTGTCTAAAAACCCTTTTGTGCAATTACATGTGAAAAACCTCATAATATCATCCTAGGGATGACTTTTCATATTCCCCAAAAAATTGTTTATTTTTCAAGACACTGAAATTCTAGGAAACCTAGAAATACATGATGCTATTTGGCATTTTTCATTTGAAGTTAAAAAAGATTGTTACTTGTAGATGTACAGAAAAAAAATCACATTTTTTTGCAGTAATATTCATGAGCTACGTACTAGCAGCACATTCTGGAAYGTTTGCAACTGTTAAATGATTGGCCCATGGACTGTTCTTACTAAATTAACCATTAAACCATACTGCTAAATCATGAAATATGAATGACCACAACCCTACAGCACTGTGTTTTCTTTCCATAAACCATTAACAATCACCATAAAACAACACATTTCATGGTAAATTACATAAGAATATTCTTCTGTGAATTCAACCACTTAATCATTTAACAACAATCACTKAGATTGATCATTAAACCATAAAAATCATAACTTAGAACATGTGTTCCTGTGTGTTAAATGTTAAAAATTGATCTGTCATTTAACCATTTTTAATCATATGGTAACACTCTAAACTGATCATTTTAAATAACATCAATTAATATCAAAATAACCTTAAACATTTTCTTAATCTGTATTCACTTCAACTGCCATGTAACCTAAACCACAGCCGTACATTTGGCATAAACAATGACGTAAAAACCATCGTTCACTGAGTTCATGTAATGACAAACGATCATTTTGATTGACAACGCAAGCACAATACATTGGCTTGAACTAAAAGCCATGGCTAAATTTCGTTCATTAAACTACATTCCTTCCAATTTCCGTTCATTTTCTGTTTATTTCATTCTCCTTTTCAATCTGCTCTGTACAATTTAATTTTCATTTCCATTTCTTATCTTGAGACTACTGTGTACTATGCAAGGAGACGATATTCTATACTTGACTTTCACATCCATTCACTTTCTACTTTTCATTTCAGTGTTCACCTCTGAAGGACGTATTCTGACGTATTCTTTCATTCATTCATGTCTTTCATGGATGTCTTTCATTCTTTGCTGCACTTATTCAGTCAGATTAACTCTCATTCTAAATTCTCCTTCACATCAATTTCTTTACTTACATTCTTGGGAAAAGTCCCTTTCAAAGTATGGCTGCATTCGATACATTTTATTAAAATTATGCACATTTGAATCTTTACTTTCAATTTCATTTGTTCTTWGATTTGGTAAAATGAAATTAGACATGCTTCATTTTATCTCATGTCTACTTCCCTTCCTTCCATTCATGCATTCATTTTTGGATTTTGGCATTCATAAAACAACAAAGTGTAAATCTAATGCACTGATAATCAAGTAATACATGGACAAATCTTCAAAAATAAAATCTTTCCATGTTAACACACTGTACTTGCACAGTATCTGAAAGGATTCTGGGTTCATAATTCACAGTACATTGCACTCTGGTAATCCTTTAAAAACGTCAACCTTTAAGGTTGCTAATTGTATATTCAAACTAAAAGAAACTTCTCAAAGGATTTATAACCTGTGGGTCAAAGCAGGTTGGGACAAAGCTGTTATTCATCAAAGTTGACTGGAAAGTCACTTTATTGCGCTTTCTAACTATCTTGAAACAAACAGAAACATTGTGACAATAGAAATTATTGACATCACAAGAAATGTTTCCTAYTTCTTTTTAAGTTTGGTGCTATCTTGAATAGTACACAATCTTTCTTTTAAAGATTCTTTCTGCAGCTCTGCTATGTACCTGCATCTGAGTACACTCTATGTGAAAAAAATAAACCTTTTGTGATAATTCGTCTTGGATTATGGAAGCATAAAGGTTGTATTTTACTTTACACACTTTCTCCTTCTCCTTCCAGCAAATGTTTCTTGTAGAAACTCTTTACTTTGCTCTTTACTAAAGTGAAAATATACTATTTCATCTAACATAGAGGTTATGCTTCAAGCCTAATGAAAGAGCTTTAGAACAAGCTCCATATTTACTCTTTTTGCCTTCTCTATTTATCTTTCTTGTTCTGCTATTTGCCTCAAGTCTTCTCGGAAGAAAAAAACATCCCTTATCATCAATTTGAAGCCAGGATTGTTCACGAAGAATTGAGGTGTGTAACATCATTTTTATGTCATGATTGGTTTGAGCTTGCAACAACAGTACTGGACATCATGTTAAAAGGACAACAACATGACCTACTAATGTCAAGGATCATCACTCATCTAAGAGCATCAAAGTCATCAACGTCATCAACAGGTCATCACTAATTCCGCCTAACGACAAACCACCCAGCAAAAACCAATGCTAAAAATTAGTCCCATGTTCCTTTTTGCAGCATACTAAGTCTACCGCAATTGAAAATCAACATAAATGCGTCTTCGCTAAAAGCTCTCAGGGCTGCAAGAGTTTTAAGGCCCCTCAAGCTCGTTTCTGGCATACCAAGTAAGTAACTATTTTATTCATACTATTCCTGGCTATCTTTCAGTCTTTTAAGCTTACCACAGCTCAACGTGGGAATAGATGCTGGCAGTTTAAAAGCATTAAGGGCTGCCAGGGTATTAAGACCTTTGAAGCTCGTATCGGGCATTCCAAGTAAGTGACCSCCTCCTCTCTAAGTCCCGCAAAACACTGCATKATAGAAAYCTAATGGTTTTACTCAAGCACGAGGACATGAGAACAAGTTGGATTTATTATTAATTGCATMTTTGAAGCCTTTGGGTWTACATCAAGAAATATAAGTTAGGTTACTACCGTTGACCAACCTTGCCGCATAGCGCGGCGTCTCACCAGTTTAGTTGGCAATATATAGTTAAACTTCCACCAATATAATATTTTTACCATCTGAAGTTAATTTTTACAACAAATTTATGAAAAAATATGAGAGATTCCATACCTTGGCACAATAGATCGTCGCTTTGAGCTTCCATTATTCGTTATGACTTGTCTAGCAGTTCTGCCATGCATGGACGCGGCCATTTTGAATTAGAGCCAGCGATATTGCGGTCAGTGCCTTTAAGTAGACAGGGATCCCAAACGTTGAAGTGAGCATGCTCTTGTATGCTAGGTGTTTTGCCATTTTCTTGTTAACTTATTAGCAATTTTTGAAAAAAATGCCGATGGAGCAAATCTTTAAGAAGAGAAAGTGAGTGTTAGGGGTTGATTAGTTAATCGTAATTCAATTATATACGTCAACTTAGCTATTATGTTATGTTAATTGTAAAATATTTTTCTCTTTTAGGTCTTCAAGTTGTAATGAAGTCAATTATGTGTGCAATGTTGCCACTGCTGCAGATATGCTTGCTTGTAGGATTTGTTATCGTAATTTATGCAATCATAGGATTAGAATTTCTTTGCGGCAAATTTCATTATGCCTGTTTTAACCCTGGAGTAAATGGTTCAGGTACGAAAAAATTAGATAACTTTTCATTATAAATTATATTTAATCGTGTCTCTGCTTGCTTTCTCCAATTTGAGTATATTATCTATACTGCAGGCAAATAGGAGTGAAAATAAATCCTCTCTAGTAGAGGGATGGGGATCTTGCTTCACATAGTTGTTGAAAACTTTTTTGTCTTCCTTTGACAGCACCTACTATAGCAGGTGATGACCCAGAGCTTTGTGATCCAGATGGTAAAGGTAAAGGATGTGAAGGCTCTCTGRTATGTCAAAGATATTGGGATGGACCTAACGATGGTATTACCAGCTTTGACAACATTTTCGCTGGTTGTTTGACTGTTTTTCAAGTAATAACCAATGAAGGATGGACAGACATCATGTACTGGGTATGTAATGAAATAAAATTTATGTGTGAAAGAGGTTTTTTTTCGTTTTCTCTCTTAATAGAATTTTTAACTCGTTTTATATGCCCTCACCCCTCCCCCCGCTGGCTCATCTTTGGTCGGCCCCTAGAGTAGGTGAAATCAGGCTAATTAGACCAGGTCAATGGAAAATAAAAATTGGAATATGTGTCAAATGTAACTATTGTGCGCGTAGAACCGCCTTTGGTGCGACTGCTGTGACTATTGTGACTCTTCGAAAACTAACCCAGCCTTTTTCATTGTTATCAGACGTTTCGCGTGTACGATAAAGATGGCTTGGCCTTCTGGTTGTATTATTACTCACTCGTCATTATAGGATCGTTCTTCATGCTTAACCTGGTTCTCGGTGTCCTTAGCGGGTAAGTTGAGATGACTAAAGYAGTTCCACGAAATAAAACGTAGTTTAACGTCAGKTATTTCAGTGAACTTCAGTAGAGATGMGGAATTTTCGCTAAACATTGTGTCAGGTCTCACAATTCGTGTAAGTGATGTAAAACCAACGCCTAGGATTTTTTAAAATGAGCGAGAATCGTCTTCTATCCTTTCAKTTTGGRCATAAATATCTTTAATTAAGTACCTACAGGTACTATCAATCTATAATCTATTGTAYACTTGAAGCATTTAAASTTATATAAACATTTAACACGAGCGCGCGGTGTATTGTGGTTGGTTGGGATTCTTTAAGCCTTTTGTTCTTTGGCGCTGCGACCTTATCCGCATTCGCGTGTAAACGCATTCTGTAGTACTGGGCAACAGGTCATTATTGCAGACGAAGTTTCTTGTTCTTTTTTATCAATTCAATRTTTTATGTTTCAGAGAATTTGCTAAAGAAAGAGAACGAGTAGAAAATAGAAGAGAATTTCTAAAAGTGCGAAGAACAAAACAGATGGAAAGAATGCTGCATGGCTACCTCGATTGGATAAGTAAAGCTGGTAAGATTCACCATCTTTAATTCATCAAGCTTTTCAACCTCGTTCCCATAGCTTCTCTGCTCGCTTTTTTTTTTACTCGGAAAAAGGGTCCTGGTTGCTAAGGATCTCGCACTTCAAAAGACCATTCAAAATATGAGGACTAAAAACAAAAACATAGGAGTACGTCGGAATACCAATGTTTGATTTTTATTCGTACAGAGGATTTAATGTTAGAAGAAGACGAAGACGAAGGWGAAAGAAACGTAGACATTCTTCGGAAGCGGAACCTCGATCGAGTTGAGGATGGTGACGTAGCTATGACGTCACAGGTCCTAACGGGGGCCGGCGGGAGAAGACATCGACTAAATACAGGACAAAAGTACGTAGTTTTATCTATTGTTATTATTGGTATCTATCTAGTAAGATTCACCCTCTCGCTTCCTATTGGAAGGGTGGTTCTCCACCACCTAACGGTGGTTCTCCACCACCCTTGGATCTCCACCACCCTTGGTCTCCACCACCCTTGGACAGAACTGTTATCTTGTGTTTTCCACTAGTAATAAAACCACTTAATGTAATTACTTGTTTTCCTTTTTTTTAAGGAGAACATGTTGGCAACGTTTTGTACGTAAAAACAAGCGATGGCGAATTCGTGTAAGACAGGTTGTAAAGCATCAAGCGTTTTATTGGTCTGTTATTATCTGCGTGTTCCTAAACACGGTTATCACTGCTTGTCAGCATTATCAACAACCAACTTGGCTGACGCAATTTCAAGGTAAACTGATTTATCCTATTGCACTGACCAATCAGAGTCCAATTGTAGCGAGTTGCATTCATATTGTTTTAACCATAATTAGAGTGGTTGTTACATCATGGTTTGTTCTTCAATCAGAGAGCATCGCATTAACATTGTTTTGACCAATCAAAGTGCTCGTTAAACATACTTTGTTCATCCCATCTGAGAGAATCGTATTCACATTGTTTAATCCAATCAATCCGGCAGAGCRTGCGAATAAAATTCAAAATTCTTTCTTTTACAGAAAAAGCAGAGCTGATCTTCATATCGTTCTTCTTCCTGGAGATGTGTTTGAAGCTGTACGGCCTTGGACCCCAGTTATATTTCAAGTCTCAATTTAACACATTTGACTGTGTGGTATGTATGACAATATGTACCAACAAATCACGTGACATCCTGTACCAATCAAAACATTCCTTGTATTTTGTTCCTATTTTGATGACCACTGCTGTTCAACTAATGCTATTCATGCTTTGCAGGTCGTGTGGTGTGGTATATTAGAACTTATTATCAGTCATATTGAGGGTATTGAGCTTGGTATATCTGTTCTTCGAGCTCTCAGGCTGCTACGATTGTTTAAATACACAAGATATTGGTCATCGCTTAGAAATCTCGTCACGTCRYTGCTTAGCTCAGTGCGGTCTATACTCAGTCTATTGTTCCTTCTCTTCCTCTTTATTGTCATTTTCGCGTTATTGGGAATGCAGATTTTTGGATCTCAGTAAGTCTGATTTCATGAATGAAATCCTCGTACTGACAGTGTAACCACGCCTTCCGGTCAGCCGCTTAATACCCGATTAATTGTATTTCCTCAGATTCCGAAACCTCCCAGGCAGAGAYGAAAACCCAAGAACAAACTTTGACGACTTCTGGAATGCGTTCCTTGCAGTATTTCAGGTAAACCTTTGTCCTCTCGACGGCTGTTTTTAGACCATATTTTATGTGCTTGAATCCACCAATAATAGGCCGTTTGCATTATGACGTAACTTTACTACAACTACCAGAGAGCCTTGCGTATTTTCATTGTTATTCAGATTTTYAATCCCCTTGYAGATTAATAAAACAATTGGCACTAATTGCATTAYAAAAGAAAGTTGGCAAAGCATTCTGGTAGTTGTAGTAAATGACGCCATAATGCATATCGCCTATTATTATACTGAGTTTCAATGTTTTGATTGACAGATTCTGACTGGGGAGGACTGGAACGCAGTAATGTACGACGGCGTGCTTTCAGCGGGTTGGCTTACGCCTGGTGGAAACAGGGCSGGTGCGCTTGGGTACTCGTTATACTTCGTAGCTCTCGTGGTCCTTGGAAACTGTATCTTTTGAATATATTGTGAATTGTAACGTGTGTTTGCGCTCTCGCACCAGTCAGTGAATCTTACTGAAGCATATTGTACAGCGCCGAGTACAATGTTAAATACTAGATGAAATCATTGATACTGTGCAACCCCGTATTACGACCACCCCCATAATATTACGGCCAGATTTAAACCCTCAAAATTTTTTTACCTGGTTAGAGCTCGTTATTACTCAAATAAACCCCAAAAGTAGCAAATAATTTCTCTTGCCGCTGACACTCGCTATTGCGGACTGCCCGTTACAGCGACAGTTGTCTGTAGTTTCTATTGATCAGTCATTATTGCACGTCCTTAACACTTTGTAGACGTTCTTCTGAATGTATTCTTGGCTATCGCCGTCGATAACTTGGCCAACGCCCAGCAATTGAGTGCTGATGAGGCTGAAGAAGAAGAAGCTAGAGAAGAACGGAAACGTGAAATCATGGAACAGTTTCAAGATTCTAAATATTCTCCTAAAGATGGCGGGTGAGTTTATGTATAGGAAATCGCACGACCTTGAGTACAATTTGGAATTAATAGTCACGAGTAATTAACGCTGTAATTGTACTCCTCTCGACCAATCAGAATGTATTATTTTGTTGAATGTACTATAAGTGCAGTTATAGTCGTGATGCTTTGGTTTTGTTGTTGTTGTTGTTTTTTTTTTTTTGAACTTTTTTTATAACAAGCGACATTTGTTTTCTTCGCAGGAGGAATGGAAACGCACGCAGAGTAAGTATGAACCAGGGGGTTTATTAAGGTGGCTCACCACCTTTTTTATTCCAAAATATAGATATAGAAATTATGAAGTAAATACATGTATTAAAAGAAGAAATAAACGGAGATCATTTTGAAAAACAACTTAAGAAACGTTCAGCTTAAAAAAGTATCATTTTCCGCAGACCTAAATATATCCATTTAWTTTTTTCTTGAGTCCCCCCTCCCTCCCWCCTCCTCTATAACATTCTGGATTTTTCACTGAATCACCAACATAATGTAAACAGGGAGGGTTACGCCTCGATTTGCATAATTCTGTATATCCTGTCATATGATATCATACTCAATCTCGAGCGATAAATGCTTATATTTGCATTCTAGGATGATGATGATATGGGACCTAACGAAGACGAATTTGAAGAAGTGGAAGAAAGTAAGRCCTATATCATGCAAACGCTCGCATAGCAGTWCCTGCTGCGTTTCCGACTCGAGACAACGCAATTTTAGTCGCAATGTTTACTTAGAAAGCCCCAAAACTTCGCAAAAAAATGAATACTTAAAGTTTTTTCTGCAACACCTGTTTAGGATTGCCAAGAAATTTTTCACAGCGGTTGCAAGAAAAAGTTGCACCGACGAAAATAAAGGAAAATAAGCCATTTCCCTAAATCATGATACAGCGGGTTTAATTCCTCAATTCATCAAAGACGTAAAATGTCTTTTTCAAAAGTCATCTCTTACAATTAACATTTTTTTAAAATCTTTTAAGGCGGGAAAAAATTAAGTGCGAAAAACTTCCTAAAGAGCTTAAAGAATCCAGACAAAATTATCGAGCAGCGTAAACCAGGCGAACCAGTACCCATCATCAACACTTGGTCACTCTTTCTATTCCCACCCGGAAATCCGTAAGTAGGACCCTGAAAAACGGGCGGTCGTTGTATAAAGTCATTGGTCGTTTTTCATTCCTGTTACCATACCATGTCGTCACTCTATATTGTGCATAGTGGTCGCTCTCAGGAGGTGGTCGGTGTTACGAGATGGTCGTAGATCTAATCCTGTCGTGTTCTTTCGTTGTGCACAGGTATACAATTTATTGAAGTCAGTGTAATCTTCTTATCTTTATAGAGTTCGTAAATTCTGTCACTGGCTGGTCAATCTACGTCATTTTGATAATGTCATCCTCGTCATCATATTGATTAGTAGTGGACTGCTGGCCGCCGAAGATCCAGTTGTCGAAAACTCCGAGCGTAACAAGGTGGGTTACCTGTGCTTCTTACTATCGCAAAGGATCTTGGTAGGCCGAGTGTATTCATATTCTGTTGTGTCATTTTCCCACAACGGAAAATAAACATTCTGAGAACTGGAAAAAAAAAAAACATTCTGAGAACGAAAAAGGGGATTAAAAGCACATAAATAACACGTTTTGATTTGATGTATTTTCTTCATTAGATTCTTACCTATTTTGATTATGTATTCACGACGATTTTTGCGATGGAAGTTGTTGTCAAGGTATGTRTTACACGCGCGCTGGACTACGATCGTCTACTAGGCTACCCAAATACTAATTAGCTAATGATGTACCATTTTTGTGCAGCTAATTGACTACGGCGCTATTCTTCATCCCGGGTCATACTTCAGAGACGCGTGGAATTGTATCGATGCACTTGTCGTGTCTTGTGCCATTGCATCTCTTGTTTTAAGGTAAAACCATGTTGTATTTCACACTTTAGAGAGTTTTAGATTCACGTTTACTTCAAACGCAAAACGTCAAATTGGTTTTTATGCTTTGTCTCAAAATTTCAAACAAACCTGAAAACGCTTCGAAAGGAATAGTGATRSGTTTATGCACGAAAAAGGGATCTATTTTATACACAATCGTGAAAGAACGGAGCGTTAATACAGAAAAACAGTGAWCATGTGATCAGTTTTGAGGTTTGGCGTTCGCCGTATAAACGCGGATCTAACTCTCTTTTCTTCGCTTGGCCTTACTCGACTCAAATTCTTAACATTCAACTTTGTTCGCAGAGTTCCTTTTTCCTCTTTTTTCATCGCCTATCACTGGAAAAAATTGCGCGCTTTTAAGGTTGTAAATTTGATGTAAATATGATGTAAGTGTCCAAAATTCTGTAAATTCAATGGGAATCATTTACATCAAATTTACAGAATTTTGGACACTTACATCATGTTTGCACCAAATTTGCAACCTTTAAAACGCGCGATAGCTCCAGTGAGCTATCTAATTATTCTTTCCTTTCCAAGTTTCTTTGGTGTTTTCGTTATTTTGTAACTTTCTCTTAATATAATGATCAATGTATATATCAATAGTACCAACGAGGATTCGTCTGCCGGATCGAAGAAAACCGTAAAAGTTCTCCGTGTTCTTCGTGTACTCCGTCCTCTGAAAGCCATCAACAAAGCCAAAAAGCTAAAAGTATGTTTGCGATGTTTTATTGCTATACTATATCATCATCGTCATCATCACCATCATCATCATCATTATCACCATCATCATCATCATTATCATCATCATCATCATCATCATCATCATTATCATCATCATCATTATCATCATCATCATCATCATCATTATCATCATCAACATCATCATTATCATTCGTAATATCAACAGTATCGTTACCTTCATTATCAACCATCACAATCATAGTCATCATCACAACACTAAACAATGCGTTGTCTTTTCTCTATCTTTAGGCAGTATTTCAGTGCATGGTGTTCTCGCTCAGGAATGTCTTAAACATCTTAATCATCACAGTTCTATTCTTATTCATATTTTCTGTTATTGGGGTCCAGCTCTTCCAGGTATGCTTATTCAGATTATAATATTATATATTCTTTGAGTTCCCTGTGGAAAAATGGGAAAGAGAAGGAACTGGGGGAGTGAAAAGAACTCGTTACTAGTCCCGCTAGCTCTCTTACTGATCTAACACAAGAAAAGAAAGGAAAGAAACGCCTGCGAATGAGTCTACTCATGTGATATGCGCTGATTTATTTCTGAAAAAATGATTTCMAACTTATAGCAACTCTCTGTTTTCAATTCTAGGGCAAATTTTTTACGTGCTCAGATAAATCYAAGATGACAGAGCAGGAATGCCGGTAAGATGATAACATTTTCACGCCACAAATCCAGTTCCTTTTTCGGTCGTTTTAAACTGAGGGAAAAGGACCTGGGAGCTAAGTTGGCAATGATCTTATATCATTGTTATTACGTGAACATGTTTTTGTAAACAGTTTCTCGCTAACTAACAGTACATGTATCAATAGTGTATGACGGAAACTCAGTCATGTTCACCCCCATTAATACAGCCGTACGGGCACCCCGATATTATAAACAGCTAGAGAATCCCCATTTTAGTGAAATTATTGAAAATAACTCTCTTGAAAGCAGACTCTATAACGAGAGCTGACTGTTACCAGCCGTGACGGTGGGTTGTTGGCACGTACTTTGATAACGCCATGTATATCTTCTGATTTCAGGGGCCAGTATTTTGAATATAGTGACTACAGGGATCTCAGTAAACTCGAAGTGAGTATTTTAGTGACTGTGCCAAATGCTGTTGTTACAATGCTCGATGCTAAGGATACATTGTACAAAATAAGCAATTGCAATATACAAAACAAGCGTTRCAATGTGCAGAACTAGCGTTATCATATGCATTGACATTCCGTTCAATTTCCAAAGGTTAAAGACAGAGAGTGGGCGAACCAAGAGTACAACTTCGATAATGTATTCAAAGCAATGTTAGCGTTGTTTGCATCRTCGACTGGTGAAGGTTGGCCAGCGTAAGTAGAATATCTAGAGAAAATAGTGATTCGTGTTATACCAGTCCACAATTCGTTTGAGCCTATTCGAACTTACATCTTTATGGTGGAGATCCTTTGATGGTGGAGAACCTTGATGGTGGAGAACCTTGATGGTGAACTTTTATGAGAACAATTTGCGCAATAATGACCCCATCCTTTACAACTACTATCACATCTACCATATCCAAACAGGCCACGGATAATATGATATATAATTCTTTTTTTGTATTGATTTCAGTCTTATGCAAGCGTCTATCGACACTACAGGTATCGATCGCGGCCCAATTGTCGACAACAAGGTGGAAATCTTCTTGTTCTATATTTTCTTCGTGATTGTTTTCTCGTTCTTCTTCTTGAACATCTTCGTCGCTTTGATTATCTTGACCTTCCAAGAGCAAGGAGAAAAAGAGCAAGGGGACTGTGAATTAGATAGAAACCAGGTGAGTCGAATACTGCTGGGCCCGAATACGTCGCGGTTTCGCAAATTTGGATATCTGTCATCTTGCACTACTTCCGTTTGAAAAAAAAACTTCAAAATATAATCGTAAAGTTCTCGTACTTGATGATTTTTCCGTCTAAAGMTCTGTTTAAATTTACTATGTCAAAATTCACCGTGCAAATTGTAAGTTGCCTTAAAAATTCGAACATGTTYGACACTAGTATCGCAGAACAATTGCCGCAATTATAGCTGGATGTTTAGCTTTTTGTTGATGTGTCCTTCACCTCTCTTTAGCGCGATTGTCTGCACTTTGCGATAGTGGCCAAGCCGAGTGAACGATTCATGCCCGAAGATCCAAACACCATCCAATATCGTGTATGGAAACTCGTGGATTGTAGACCTTTTGAATTCACGATCATGACTTTGATTGCACTAAACACGTTGATTCTAATGATGAAGGTAAGGTTTTGAATTCAGCTATTTCAGAAAATGTTGAATACTGAATACTGCGCAGTACTTTCCAAGACCACAAGGAATTAATCAATTAAACACCGCGTTAGCTRTGTAMTATAGACAATAGTCGTCTTCACGGTTCCCTGCGCCATTTTGAAATGTAACCATGCCTTTGTATCGAAGCGAGATGACCGTTGAGCGTGCAATGATAGAAACCTTATTTTACAGACAATTATTCACAGGTATCTATCATTGCACGCTCAAAGGTTGTCTCGCTTCGATGTTAAGGCACGGCTACCTTTCAAGATGGCGCAGGGAACCGTGAAGAAGTTTATTCTAAACTCAATTGCTTTGCACTGAAAGTTCTTGACTGAATGGAGATGTTAAAGTTACTCTYTCACACCATGAAAACTCCTTTTCAACGATCATAGGACGAACAATAATGCATTTCGGTCTTGGTATACGCTATCTTAAGTGTCAACGTTTTCTGAATTAACTGTAAAAAAGCARTCAATRCTTAATACCTCGGATTAAAGATACCATTTTTTGTTGTTGTTTCTAGTTTGATAACGAACCGAAGGAATACCGTTACTGGCTCAATCTCTTTAATACGATATTCACGTTCATGTTCACGACAGAGGCCATTCTAAAGCTTATTGCATTCAGACAGGTAAATAAAACTCTTATCTCTTCAGCTTACGGCCTGAAGCTTTGGGCCTGTTCCTCGGCTAAAAAATCAGTTGATAACGYAACTGGTGGTGTTATTGTAATGACTACAAGTTTAGATTTGATTTCTAGGAGAATAACGTTCACTTTGTAATCCCATGAAATTGGATTGAGCCCTGACAGCTACTTACTAAGTCTTCTGTAGAATTTCCAAAAATTTATTTGATATTATTAACGATTTCACGCCAAAAGCATCCCSTCTTATTCTCTGAACGTAGTTCAATATTCATGTTATACTGCAAGCTTATTGTTCAAAATGTATTTTGTTGGCGTTCWAGAACTACTTTCGAGACAGTTGGAACGTGTTTGACTTCGTTGTTGTATTGGGAAGTCTTCTGGACTTTATCTTGGATAAAGTRATGGTACGTATGTGACGTCATAAGGAAAGGGGTGCTTCATGTAAAGTGGCCTATAGGTCGATTATCACTAGTCTAAACGGCGAAGGAAGCGTGGAAGACGAGATGAAAGTCTAATGAATGAACCTTGATCCGTTTTGCTTCGTCTGGTTTTCACTAATGATATCTTAACAACTTCGTTCCCAGTCCCTTAACGTCAGACGAAGGGAAAAGGGCCTGGGAACGATGTTGATATCTACATGCGTGAAAGTAGCACACTGATATATGTATGAACAGCGTAGCGTTCAAAACCATACAC